CAGATATAATGCCCCGCGTTGAAAATTAGGACTGTAATTTAGAGACGGAATTAGAAAGAGGGAAAAAGAGAGGGGGAGAGAGAAACGCACCTCGTCATCAACATATGCTGACGATCGACTCGGAATCACTGCTCCGGATCAAGCCCATTGGGCAGACCAGTAAACGGCACGAGGCAACAACCGTGGATCCACTGCGACCAAGCTTGTGCACATTAATCATTAATATTACCACTGGTACTGATACTATACAATACCAACTGCCCTGTTGAGATGCTGACGAAGATGTTTGGCAGTGGCATTGGTAATGATGCTGATGACGATGCTGCTGCTGATGATGATGGTTTTCTCGGGCGAAACACGGACGCCATTGCCAGGCCGAGTCACGGCAGCGAAAATTCTCCGGCTGCCCACCACCCAATGCCCACCGTCATTTGCGCTGAAATGATCGGTTAGCAAATTAAGGCCATTTGCTCACGCTGATTGGTATCGGCACATCGGTCGTTCCGTGCCCAATGCTCTTCGCAAGGTGGCAGTGCGTACTAGGTTCAATGTGTACACACACCACGCAGTCCCTAAAAGTGCTTAAACGCAGTAATCGACTGCGCATAGTAAGGTATGTACTACCTGTGCTATGGCCGTAGGATGGGTATCCTGTACTTGCCTCTGTACGAAGCAGTATACCATCCTTCACTACCTGATAGTTCAATCAACTTATTCCCTCTTTGAGCATTGAGAAAGAATCCAGGCCTCCTTCGCCCCTCATCACCTTGTGAGTGCTTTCCCTTGAGTCAGGTGTCAACGCCACAATCAATGCGTCCTGAACCAATTGATCCCTCGAGACAGCGCGCTTGGGTAACTCTGCCACGGGCCTAATAGTCAGCCACCCAAGCCCGCCTTCCCCAAATAAAGTCTCCTAGAGTCTCCTACGTAGGAGCCGACCCAGCAGTGTGCAGTAGTATCTTTTGGGTGGCATGGGCCCCCTTTTTGTTTTTTTTTTTTTTTTTTTTTTTTTTTTTTTTTTTTTTTTTTTTTTTTTTTCTTTTTTCTCCGTTTCTTTTTTTTCCGTCAATTACCTACTTTTGTCTCTCTTTTCTTCTCCTCTCAATGCAGCGCTCACCTTCTGGGCTTCGGCGACTGTCGATCAGCACCGCAGTACTCTGCCTCTCTCAAATAGGGTCCTTCCCTTTTCGCAGCTTGGCGCTGGGACACGGCTGCTGCGTGTGTCTTAAGCTCTTGGCCAACTGCCAATTTGTAGTCAAATTGTTCCTCGTCTCGATGTAACTGATGCCTAGCCCAGCTCTTGTTTCTCCTCTGAACAGAATGAATGGGGGCAGGGGGCAGGGGTGTAGGGGAAGGAGGAAAATAAGAGACTCTCCTAGTGGCCGGCTGGTAACTCTCCTGATATGACAGAAATCATCCTCAACCTTACGCTTTTGAAACTCAATACTGCTGAGTAGAATGTCACAGCTACCCTGCCCATTCAGGGTTCGGGTTCCAACTGACTAACCCCAAACGACTAACTTAGGTAGTTACTGCCTACCTAGATGTGTAAGGTAGTGTACAATTACTAGGTACAGGTATTAACCTACTACTGTAGGTTATTTCAGGTCACACACGGAGTACCGATCCGTCTGCTGCGGCGGCGGCGGCGTGCCTGCACCGTCCTGCGCAGCTGCAGCAACCGACTCCAGTCGTAAATTAAGTCCTTGACTTGCTCCGTATGTACACCTACCATCTCCTTACAAGTTCAGAACAATTGATGCTGAGACCATTTACCAAGGCTGCGGAAAATATCTCCTCAGCCTATCCTGCTTCAATGAAACTGCCGCGCCGACGGGCAACATCCGCCAGTCTTACGTATTAGTCGACAGCGTCGTCATGTCGCAGTCCGCACCCCAGTTCATTCGTCGCTCCCACCCCCGTCGCTGACAGTAGTGGCCCATCCATCCTGCATTGAAGTGGATGCGGGAGCACACCCTCCCAGAAAGATGCCGCACTGCCGCGGGTATCGGATTCGTTCCAAGAGCTCCGTGTTGGTTGCATGATTGCCTTGGGTTCCGAAAGCACTGGGTGGACTCTAGACCTCCGGAAGAGAGAGTGAGACTGGGCGGTGATGTGGTTGACCAGCCCGCTTTTCTCTTAAGTTACAGCACTACTACTCGGCTACTACTAAGTTTAATCGTTCTGTCCCTTTTCGAGAACAATGCGATCGAGTCGGTGACAACAAACAGGACCCAACCCACTCGCAACCCAGTCGGAGTATCTTAGTCACCTTTGACCAGTCCTCCAAGGTCAAGACCAGACTAGACTAGGGCAGGTTAGGCCCGAGAAGTGGTTCCCAGACTAGGAGTCACTAGTGACTGCATGTCTAAGGTACCATGTAACGTACCATGTCGGCCGGATGTTCTAGCCGAGATCTGAACAACGATATGGTTAGGACTAAGTAAACTCTGGTGGATGCAGACTCCGGCCAGTCACAAGTGGCAAAAGACTAAGCTTTTCATAGGAGAAACAGGCCAGAAATTGGTTCGATAGGAAACTATTGGAAGGCAGACAGGAAATAGCCGGATGGACGGAACGTCAAACAAGCTGCGTCGAGTTGCTAGCTACATATGCTATGTACGAGTATGTACGGAGTACTGTACAGTGAATAGCAGAAGCTCGTCTAAGCTGTTTCCCGGTCGGCCTACGGCTTGTTGCGAATTTTGGGACAACGGGACCTAAGTTTAAAAATGTACAGGACATTTGGTGCGTGCTACATAGAATTAGAACGCGGGCGGTGGTCGGATTTGGTTCCTGCTGTGGGCCCCTTCTCAGTCACTCTCACTCACACACTCACACACATCCTCTCTCTCTCTCTTTCTCTCTCATACTCATACATTGTTATAGGTATATTGTGACTGGTAACTTGATACTTCGACGGGCAAAAATACCTTTTGTAGTTAAGCTCTACACTACCGTTGTCGGAAGATATGAATTGGAAGCTGGTTGGGCCTCTCTCCAAGGAGCATTTTTATTTTATCTAATCCATTATTCAAGGGTCCCGCTTTATATGGCATGTCCCGTGACACTTCATCGGATGCACTCCAGTCTGAGAGTTGTTCAGCTATTGACGGGTACGATGGAAGAAGCCAGTAGTAACACTACAGCAATGTTAAAAAAAAAAAAGCAGGGTACTGTACGTACGAACTAGCACTACTACTTATTTACCTTACAAGCGGTGAGCGGGGGGACCATTGGCCCCCTCGCAGTCAGCAGTGTTTTGATGAGGTGCGGAAGTCTGTGCAGAGGGCGGCAGAACGGCTGAAGAGAGCAGGCGGTAAGGCTGTAAACCTTACAAAACCTCATTGCCAACACATGGAAGGGACACATGGGAGGGATATTCTCGGCAGAGCGGACAATTGAAGGGCTTTGGCTGGCCAGACCTTTTTTCACTTCCCTTCTCTCCCTCATCTACTTCTCCTTTGTCCCTCTCCTTACGTACATGAGTCAGTCAATCAATAGACCAACAACCAACGAGCCATGATGCACTCTCTCGTCCGGTCGTCTGGTGTGAATGCATCGAAATCAACAATTTGACCGGGGCTAGGCCACCTGGACGCAACTCGGTGAGTTCCGTCACAGCACTAGTGAAATAATTGGTTGTGGCCAGTCGACTTCTCAATGGCGGCTGCGCTCAACTAAAGGGTCTAGCTATGTCACGATCCATGATGGCTATTCTGCAGGTTTTCTTCTCGCGTTCGCTCTCTCTCTCTCTCTCTCTCTGGCCTCTTCCTCCCTCATTCTCTCTCTCGTTTTCTCACTTCCTCGCTTCCTCAATCGACTGGTCCTTCTGTGCCGTGTTTTGCTCCTCTTTGCCCACCCACAACGACGGAAGAGGATCGAATGCCGACACATCTACGGAATACGTACTGAGTAACAATGGTGGGCTTGACGGGCCGGATATTGTTCGAGAGTCGAGCCTAACCATCCACGTGGGCCATGCATGGACCATTGGCCCACCTGCACCCGCTGAATGAAATTGAACAGAGACATGTTTCTTGTCGGTGGCTTTATGGCCTACAGAGCTCCGTACGTACTCAGTACTCTACTCTACTCACATCAATCACCCTTTCAGTCTTACCTCTCACCATGACACCGTAATGTGGATTCTGGGCCCCCAGTGAATTGATCATGCTGTCTGAGAGTAGCGACTGGCAGTCGGAGCCTGTCAGCCATTAATCTGTTGCGCGAATAGGGGTCTTCGTGGTCAATGCCCTTCAACCATGCGGCGGCAGGTTCCAGCCAAGCATCCTAGTGCGATCGTAGTAGCTTTGCATGCGGTCTCTCGGTGTCGTAGACAATCGCCGTGTACAAGGACCAAGCGACGCTTTTGATTGGGACATAGGATGCAGACTGCTATTCTGCCTTGGCCCCAAGACAACCCAACCCGACACTGAACTACTCGTACTACGTTCACCTTATCAATATTCGCGAAACAACTAACTCTTCCAGTACTATCTTGAAGCGGTTCTTTTCTTGTGTGTTTTTTATCGTCCACACGCGCCAATGCGCACGCCTACATGAGAGGATGAAGTTCTGACGTCCGATCGGACGAGAGGTCTGATGACGAGGTCGGAGGTCTGTATAGCCTAACTTACACTACGGATAGACTATGTGTAATAATGAATCGATGGCCTCGTTACTCTCGCCAGGGATCTTTGGTCGGGATTCAGCGGGCCAGCGCCACTTGAGATTCTTGGCCTCGGATTTACTTCCGACAGCCTGGCGGCCGGTTGAAAGAGCATCATGTGTAGTTGTGTACTGTAGTTACTCCGTCCATAGCCGGACTCCTAGATTGGTGGCTGTTACAACCGTCGCGGGTTTCTTGCTTGCTCTCCTCCCAGGTTTCGGTTACTGAACCGTGCGACCCCACCCCATCCGGATTGCGCTCTGCGTACTGTACTCCGTAACTTACTCCGTACTTCCTAGATCCTGCATCCATCCTAACAGTCTGTGTGCTTGCTTACTTGCAGATTGCAGGGCTACTAATTCTAACTAATTCTCATTGTTGAGCTTAGCGGCTCATTTTCTCCGATCCTTTCCGCTGACAATTCAAGATTTGTTCCGACCTAGTAACCTCAGCCGCAAGCACACGAGCTTGAACACTCTGACATTAGTTGGTTAACTGTCGTGTCGCCTTTGGTTTAATGTCGGGAAATTCAAAGACTAAGTCTGCAAGTCCGTTCTTTTTCTTCCTCCTCCTCCTCCTCCTCCCACCTCTTCTCGCTCTCTCTATCTGTCCTTTTCCTGCCTCTGCCTCTGCCTCTCCCAAGGATTGTCTCTTGCTTAGTCTCGTATTCGATCTACCACGATTCAAGGCCATGCCTGCGGGATGGACTGCTTCGCCCGATCCAACCGGCGCGCTTCCACGCATGTTGGCCAGCCTCGGCCGAACTTGCCAGTGGCATGAGGGCAGTGGCTAGACCCGCGGGCTGGACTATACCGTAGTAGTCTAGCTGACCTAGCGGCGGGGGCTCGAGATGTCGTGATCAATTTGGGAGGAGGGAACAATCTCGCCCTATATTGACCCGCAATTTAAGGAGATGCTTGAGATGTCAATCTGATTATCTTCTCGCTTTTGCCCCCCTCGGCAAACTGCCGGTATCTGCCAAATTGGGAAATACTTCCTATCAGGAGTTACCTACCTGCCTGAGTCGTGGACATTTCCCGATACAGTCGGCGGATAGTAATCATCCTTGTCCTTAATGGCTGAAGTATTCAGTAGCTGCTTAGTTAGTATACTTTAGGACTCGTGCATGCAGCTGTTCATCCACCTGACGATGTTTGAGCGTTGCAGCACAAAGGGCTTCTCCGACAGGGAGGGGTGGGAGGTGGCGCTTTTCATTCGATTTGGGGCAAATAAACAAAAAGTAATGACGTCCGGGAAAGACAATCTTCACAGGGGTCTCGAACATAAGTGAATGAATTGGGACTAGTGGGTTTTCTCTTCTTTTATGGAATTGCAGCCGGGTGTGATAGTTACCACCTATGCTTTGAACACCCTACTGAGATGACTTGATATAACCTTCCAATTGCGTCTTATCATGAGTTAGGTCATTACCGTTGACGATTCACGAGTCAACTATCTTTAGGGTGTACATGACGGCTATCGGACTTCCAAAGCTCGAGGACATGTTAGGTCTTCGCCTACATCGCTCTCACTACTGCTATCGCCCTAGAGCCTAGTGCTCTCTAGCCTTCAATTGAGGAACCTCAAATGAATGCGACATATACTAAGTGCCATGGTGATTCAAGCTGCGCAGTTCTCTACGCCTATTACCAGCTATGCCGAAATACTCATCATAATAGTAACACGCATGGGTGTTGCAGAATACAATTCCTCTTCCTTCCTCCTGGCGTCAATCTCATATCTATAATCATCTCAAGCACTCCAGATCATAAACCCTTGGAGCATTTCGCAAACCCTCACGGAAGGGTCTCTACCACTTCCTCACAAATTGAAAACTATCAACCGCAGCGACCATCGCGCCACCACTCTCGGACCCGGAGATAAGATAGAAGGGAGAGAAAACAGCGTCAGAACACAACATAAAATCGCATTCTAGACACCATGGCCTAGGATAAATAAGCCCTCGCGCGCTGAACAGTAACGGTCTCATCCCTCCTCCACTGCCTGATAGACAGACTCCAGATAGTACTTGTGAGAAAGTGGAGAGAAAGACATCACTGCCTCGCATCCTCCCACCGCTTCACCACCACCTCCACGATCTGGCGTAGCCCTTCCATCTCCTCCTCGACCTGAAGCCCCAGCGAGGTCGGGTCGAAGCTGCTCCCCACGTAGACGGGGATGCGCAGCCTGCGGGCGAGGATCTTGGCGACTCGGGTGGTGTATTCCACGCTGTTGGGGGTGGAGTAGATTGTTGTTGAGAGGGGTGTGGTGGGGGATTTGAGCTAGGGGTTTGTTGGTTAGTTGCAGGTAGCTAGCGTTTGGGTGTTGTAGGTGGGCATGGGCATGGGCATATGCGGTATGGATATATGTGATGTAGAGGGCATCAAGGGCGAAGGTATAATATTCGTGCATGAGTGAGGAAAAATTCAGTGACCCCATCAATCAAGGTGTGTGTAAAAAGCATATGGGTTCAGGTTCATCCTGAGCATGGGGGACCTGTTTTGATGACGCAGATCTATCTATATTGTCCACTACACTTACATCAGGCATCGCGTAGATCAAACTCCCCATCGGCTTCACTGTCCCCGCTGAGTCGCCCGGGGTCGACGTAGCGAGAAACACCATGGCACATGTGTCCAACAAGGTCAGATGAATATGTGCTGTCGTGTGAAGAGCCTTGGGCAGTGGGAAGGAGATCTCCTGCGGGTGGAGGCGGGGTGGGATGGGCTCTGCTGCTGTCGCCATTTCCCTGAGTCCGGGAATCAAAGGCCCTGAGTGTTTACAAGATCTGCTAAGCCGATAAACCGGTTGCTTGTGAATGAGCCGAAAAGAGCTGTTTGTTTTGCTGGCCCGAAGTATAGAAAGATTGAAGATGGGCTGGAAGGCTGCCAGTGGGCGAGGTCTCGTTCCGCTTCTGGACTGGGGAATCTCATTTTCCCCGCCAAAAACAAAAAAAGAGAAAAAGAAAAAGAAAGCGGGTCTCTCCGCGGCGGGCGGCCCTCGAATTCCATCTTCCGGCTTTGGAGTCTCATCATCGCTTGTCATTTTTCTCGCACGCGAGTTTCTGCTTGGAGCTAAATTTTCTGGTTCTTGGTGTTATCGCTGCCTGGGATCATTTGTTGTTCTTTCCTCCCGGTTCGAATGTCTGGAGCGATCGTCTTATCTCAACATGTCACACGATATCACCCACTCCGTCAAATCGGAACCCCACGATGACTCGGAAGATGTGCGAAGCTGGGCCGGGGACTTCGACCCGTTGGCCGACGCCGATGAGCGGCGGGTGCTTTTTGCTGCATTGGATTCCTTCAGGTGCGTGCGGATGGTCTGTGTGGTACAGCTTCTGGAGCTTCTGGTGTCACCGTCCTATCTTATCGTTTGTGGTTGTATGTAGCCATGGTTACTGGGTTCTTGCTCTACGCTACGCTAGTCCTACAGTGAGGGGATGGTCGCCATTTCTCCAACAATCCATGCTTCGCATCACCATGATGGCTTTGAATACTTGAGAATCTGCTGACCATGGCAGACAATATCGGAGAACGGCGCATATGAATACAACGCATCGGCGGCGACAAGCATTCTACGCGCTGCCCTCGGCGCATTGGCAGATGCTCGCCGAGCCGCCCTTCTCGATTCTGGAGCACTTCAACCGGGTAGACGATGCTATCGACATGAATGCGGAGATCGCGGACGCGATTCTCGCCACGGGTCTATCGTCCTTTGGCTTGTCGCTCGACCCGAACCCGGAGGACCTCCGGGAGAATTGGCACGGAACGGCCAACACCTCCGATGTCAACAAGGCCCATTCGACTTTGAGGCAGTTCTACCGCGATTGGAGCGCCGAAGGGCGCGCCGAGAGAGAAATCTGCTATGACCCGGTCCTCCAGGACTTGCGCACCGAGTTTGGTGCGCGCACCGCTGCGGGCCAGGAAATCAGGGTGCTGGTCCCGGGAGCTGGCCTGGGTCGCCTGGTCTTTGACATCGCTCGGGCAGGCTTCTCACCCGAGGGCAACGAGATCTCCTATCATCAGCTTTTGGCCAGCAGCTGGGTCCTCAACCACACCCTCGGTCCTCAGAAGCACACGCTCTACCCCTTTGCCCTGCACTTCTCGAATCTGCTGTCGCGGGAGCAACAGCTCCAGACAGTGATGATTCCCGACCGACATCCGGGCACTGTGATGGCAGAAGCGCAGGAGAACCCAGAGGGCCCTCCTTTCGGCCAGATGAGCATGTCGGCGGCGGACTTTGTGGTGCTCTACCGCCAGCCTGATAACCGAGAGGCATTCGATGCGGTGGCGACGGTCTTCTTTATTGATACCGCCCCGAACCTGATCCGGTATATCGAAACAATTCATCACTGCCTGAAGCCGAACGGGCTCTGGATCAACGTCGGGCCGCTGCTATGGCATTTTGAGGACGGGGCCAACCGCAGCCACGAGAACAGCCACGACTCGCAGGACCAGGGGATCAGCGAGCCAGGGAATGTGGAGTTGACGGAGGCCGAAGTGTTCTGCCTCGTGGAGCGGATGGGCTTCGTGATCGAGCAGCGCCAGCCGGCACACGAACGGCCGTTGTGTGGGTACATCCAGGACCCCAACAGTATGCTTTTGCCGTTGTACCGGCCATCGCATTGGGTGGCCCGCAAGGAAAGCCACTGAAATCTTTCTCCTTCTTGAAAATAATCATTAAAGTCATTCAGTATATAGACTAGATAATATATAGGGTGGATCAAAATCGGAGTCGGAGGGTAAGTACATGTATGTTATATTGATCATACTGTACGGGAAACATATCAAGCCAGGGATCGGGTGGAGACCAGACGCTGTTCAGCCGCAGCCTTGAGCCCGACACCAAGACAAAGAAAGAAAGCGGCGATCCAATTCAATTTATCCCATCCAAAATTGCCCATCCCGGGCGAGGCTTAGCGGCATTGGGGCCAAAACAACGGATGATGGTTCCATCGCAGGCTCAGGCACTAGAAGAAATGAGCGAGGCAGAAGCATTCTTCTAGAGAATAGAAAATCATGGTAGACCGATACTGTACTGTACTGTACTGTACTGTACTGCACTGGGTCAATCAAACCAATTGAGGTTGCGGCCTCAGGCGTGGTAAGATACTGTACTGCTGTAATGAATGGTATGGAACCTAGTGTTGAATGGACCAGACTTTCGATACCTTGTCTGGGAATTCAATCATATCAAAAGCATGAACCTGAAAGCATTATGGTTCTATGGTTCTTTCTTTCTTTCTTTTCTGTTCAATAGGGTGAAGTGCTCTGTACTCTGTACTGTACCCTGTTTAATTCACCAGGCCGGTAGTCGGAAGCCGATCATTCCAGAGAGAATTCCAGGGCGCATTTCACCTGCTAGCAATCTGACAGACAGTCAGTCAGTCTATCGATGACAAACCGGCTTCGGCTCCAGCTCCAGCTGCTGTGCTGTCTGTCTGACACTTCTTTTTCTGTTCTCTTCCTCTTGACCCAAATTATCAACCATCAACATAATTAGAACCCATTCCGCCGACTCAGCCCTGTTATTTAGTGGATGTTGAAATTGTGGTTCGAGTTGTTGTTGTCGTTGTTTGTTGTCCCCGCAATCTGATCCTCCCCACTCTCTCTCTCTCTCTCTCTCTCTCTCTCTCTCTCTCTCTCTCTCCCTTCCTTTGATTATCCATCCCATCCTCACTCAATCCCTCACTCTATCGCGGGCACTGCCTCTTCCTTCTCCCTCGCCATTTTTGGTCCCGCTCGTCTTACATCCTTTCCTTTCTTTCCCCATCTCTCTCTCTCTCTCCCCCTCTCTCTTCTACCATTTTCTTCTCCATCTCCGTACTATTTTCTGTTGTCATTTTCTACTACAGCACCGCCCCATTCTCCAACTATCCACTTTTTCTTCTCTTCTCTCTTCTCCTCTTTTCTTGTGCTGCCGCTGCTGTTCCTCCCTCGCGTCCGCCTCTTTTCTTCCCCTCCCCGCCTCGTATCCCCTCCTTCCTCTTCCTCCCTCTCTTTGTTCGTCCCCATCCGTTGCTTTTAACGGTTGTGCACAATCAAGGACCTGATGAGCTCACGCTTAAACTTCAAATCGTTCACCTTTGGGACGAAGCGCAACAAGAACAACTCGACTCCGCAACCTCTTCCCGTGTCGACACTATCCAGCCAGGGAATCAGCACTGCGCCGTCGACCAGCACTCTCGTCGCTCCTCCCTCTTCCACCTCGCCCAGCTCCCCACCCTCCGGTCACAGTTCCTCTACCACGAGCTTACCCATGAACAATCAAAATCCTTTGGGCCGCCCCCCGAGTTATACCTACAACACGGTGGGCCGGCCCACCAGCCCGCTGCCGCCTGGCCCTCACCACCCACCCTCCATCAATACCAGCCTGCAGTATTCGCAATCTCCGATGGGAGCGCCCCCCGGGTATGGACTACAGCAGCCCATAGCCCCGGGTATGACCCCTGGTCTTCATCAACCCCAATACTTGCGCAACCCCGCCGTCGAAGTCGAAGGCGCTGGCCGCAGCAAGGCCCAGCTGATCGTCGGTATCGACTTTGGGACAACCTTCTCTGGAGTCGCTTTCGCCTTTGCGACCAACAACGAAGCTCGGGAAGACATTATCACAGAGTGGCCTGGGGCAGGCACTCACACCAAACAGAAGGTGGGTACAAACAATCTCCCCGCACCTCATATGCAGGCTCCCCTAGATTGCTCACTCGATTCACGGTATCCCCCAGATCCCAACGGTGCTGTACTACGACCAATACCAGAAGGTGGTAGGATGGGGTCCGGATATTGCAGATGCGCTGGCCCCGACTGGTTACCCCAAGCAAGGGGTCCAGAAGGTCGAATGGTTCAAGCTCCAGCTCATGCTCTCCGGCAACACCTACATCGACCCCATCAACCTGCCGCCCTTGCCGCCGGGCAAGTCCGAAATCGATGTCGCCGCCGACTACCTTTTCAAGTTGCGACAGGCAATGCGGGCCCAGCTTCAGAAGACCCTCGGCGAAGTGTTTACGCGAGAAGAACGGAACATCCGATACTACCTTACCGTTCCGGCCATCTGGAACGATGCAGGGAAGGCAGCGACCCGGGCGGCAGCTCTTCAAGCTGGGTTTCTACGCGACGAGAACGACAACCGCCTCACCCTGATCTCGGAGCCGGAAGCAGCTGCGCTCTTCTGTGCTAAAACGGGCTTGCTGAACCTAAAAGTGGGCGACGCCATTCTGATCGTAGACTGCGGTGGTGGTACGGTCGATCTGATCGCGTATGAAGTCGAAGAAGAGTCACCCTTCAGTGTCGCAGAATGCACGGGTGGCTCGGGTGATTCATGCGGTTCCACTGCTCTGAATCGGAATTTCAGCAACATCCTTAGGGCCAAGATCCGCAAGATGAAGCTGCCCGATGGCTCACGCACCGCCGGCAAGGTCTATGCCAAGTGTATCATGGACTTCGAGAATCGTATCAAAGCGGACTTCCGCAACAACGGCCAAAAATGGGCGGTAGACGTGGGAATTGAAGCCGACTTCCCCGATGCGGGCATTGAGGAAGGATACATGACGTTCACGAATGAAGAGATCCTGCAGTGTTTTGAGCCGGTGGTTAACCGCATCCTCGAGTTGGTGCGCAATCAAATTATCGCGATTCAAGCGCAGAACCGATCGCTCCAGGTATGCCGACGGATGTTTAATGTGCAGTGTCCCATGACTGACCTTGACCCAGAACGTCCTCGTGGTGGGTGGATTCGGTGCTTCGGAGTACCTCTTCCAGCAAATCAAGTTGCACGTACCGCCACAATATCAGACCAAAGTTGTTCGACCTATGGATTCGGTTGCAGCGATTGTGAAGGGTGCTGTGACGGCCGGAATCACTGAGCGGGTGGTCACCCACCGTGTCGCTCGGCGGCACTATCTGATGGCAACGCTACAGCCATTCAAAGAAGGATATCACCCCGAACAGTACCGAGTTCCCAGTCTGGACGGCCGCGATCGCTGCAAATACACGCGGCAGATCTTCATGCAGAAGGGCGAGCGAGTGAAGATCGGCGAGCCGGTCAAGGTCAGCTTTTTTCGGCAGGTTGCCCCCGGCGCCACCCTCATGTACGAGGATATTTTGTATGCCTGTGACGAGGATGTGTGTCCGGAGTACACGAAGGACCCACGTAAGCTGCTCTTTCTATAGAAAACTGTCCATTCAGCACTGACAAAAATCCACCGCAGGCATCAAGGAAGTTGTCACCCTCACATCGGACCTGTCCCGCAAGAACCTGGAAACAGACTTCGAGCGCATGGACACACCCCAGGGAACCTTTTACCGCGTTTACTTCGACATTTACTTGACCCTCGATGGTAGCGAGTTCAGCGCGGAGCTAGTGTGCCAGGGTGAAGTAATGGGACGCTGCAGGGCCAAGTTCCGCTAGTTCCAAATACACCTCGAGAAGAAAGGGGGGAAGGGAGAGGCTACAGATATGATGATACCCGGTAGAAGAAAGAAAGAACTCGGACCCAAGGTTTTCCCAAACATATGCGATATATAAATCTCATGACACACGCAATCACGCTGCACTGGCACTGGGATGGCGTTTAATATTCTTTTTTCTTCTTGTTTTCCATTTGGCCCACTGACACTTCTCTTCCCTGACAATCATCGACAGATTCGCACCAGGGAACCACCCACCAACTCTGGGATATACTTTTGGAATGATTGTGCTATGCTGCTTTATATCTCTTGATACCTTTTGATCTACAAATGCTCTGATGCAATGTGATTTGTGATTTGGTCACCATAGCCGAAATACTGGATTATGACTAGTTTGAGTCCTTGTTGCCGAAATAGGGTCTCACCTTGGTTTCCGGGCCCCAGTGGCCCGCTGAGCCTTTCTGTTAAGTTGGCACTAGCAGGATGCAGAGGATTTCCTGATCTTGGAAGCCATGTTAGTGCAAGCATGTCCTGGTATATTCTCAACATCCTCGATCTCTCCTAGCCTAAGACAACCCCAGCCTAGGTTATACATACAGCACACGATTTTCAACAGCTCCCTACCTCTCGATCGGGTTACCTTCGTCACATAGTCAATCGAATAGTCAAGGACAAGCTGACCAAGCAGCCAACCACCAACGCCCTCAAATATTGAAATGGAAAGACGGAGGCTATTGCCAGACCCACTTCTTTACCCCGTAGAGTACAATCAGTCTACTTACCAGGCCCAAAAAACTGTACTTGGGTAGTGGATGTATGTGCAAAGGGGAGAAAGAGAAAGAACAAAAGAAAGAAAAGAAAGTTATCGAGGTAATAGGTGTGTGAAAAGCAAGCAAAAAGAAAGAAAGAAAAAAAAAAGATCGCCGAACGTCCCACTCCATACATCTTCTCTACCTTCTATACTTGTGTATCAAAGTCAAGGTAGAAACTCACCAAAAAAAAAGAAAGACAAAAGAAACCCCCCCCCCCCCCCCAAAGAGGGAAAGAAAAGAAGAAAGAAAAGGATAAAAGTGATTAGAAACCTAGAGAAAGAGCATTTCCCCCCCCCTCAAAGCCCCCTCCTCTCCTACGCCCCGGACCTATCTCCGTCTAGATATACCACCCTTTTCTCCGTAACAAGAGAGACGACACACACCAAGAAGTGACAACGTTTGCGCAGGGCTTGGGTGGAACGTGATTCAATAAGGCCGTACGGTAGGTAGGTTGGTAGCCTACTTGCCTACTTGTCAAGTGATGGTTACGTACTATAGTAGTTGTTGATAAATATATACCCTATGGAAAAGTCAAGGTATACCTACAGTAGGTGTACATGCTCCAGAAACCAACTCAACTATGATCGGCCAACGGCCCTCCCCCACCCCGTCCCCCCTCTTTCGCCGCCCTTCTCTCTCCCCACCGTCATCAACCATGACGACAATCCATGCATGACATAGAAGAGAATTCCACCACACAATGAAAAGCACAAAAAAACAAAAGATTCGATCACGCGCCACATCTAGATAAGGGTGATCGGCCTGGGCGTCGAAAAAGTGGGGTTAGAAGGAGGGGTGGAGGGAAGAAGGGGGGGGGAGAGAGAGAAAAGGGAAAACAAGCTGCTGCATGGCTTAAAAAGGAACTAATGCGTGGCGTTGGTTATCTTTATTTTCTATCTCTTTGTGGGTTCTCAAATTTGTTTGCCATATATTAGTTTGTATTTATCTATCGCATTGTTGTCTCGATAACCGAGATACTGACGTTATGTACTAACTCTGGCCTTGATTCTCTCCATTTGCCACGAGGGCTATTTTCTTTTATACAATATACGAGAATAGCGAACGAAACCGGTTCGGACTGCATTTACATATCCTTTCTGTTTTACCCTGATTCTGCCGTTCCGAATGATCCGAGGCACAAGAGAAGCATTCGTTGAGGTTGATAGAGTATGAACACGGAATCGATCTTGAGTGGTTCTTTCTGCGGGCTTTTTCGGATGCGAGATGGCGGTGCGCATCAGATCTTATTGGAGATGCATGTTTGCTTGAGAACCTATCAGATTCGCCTCGGATGGGGGTTCTCCGAGGTCAATCTATTGGGAACCGGGGAGCCTTGACGCCTGATCTGACGTGGTCTCTATACCGGTATTCCTTAGATGTAGAAGTTGTATCAACATACACAATCAGGAATTGGGCTTGGGTCGTGAAGCTGCCCTCGGAAAAATTGTCTGCTTGCACCACAGGGTATGTATGCCACGGTAGACTGTGGCTCGACCATGTCGATCATGAGTGTTCGACAGACGGGGATCCGCTGAATGATAAGAGGTTGACCTTGTATCAGTCTATCGTCGTTCCATTAGAGCCCAACATCCGAGGGAGATGCTGAACACAGACTCGTAGCCGAGCCGGCTCTCCTGGTATCTGCCCTCACCTCGCTAGCAAGAATGTTCGTACACTTTGTTGAAGGATGACTGAGAGTTGCATTCCACGCATGACTTCTCGACGCAGTGGCGACAGTCTCAGAGGACGCTGGAGAAACAAGCCCAATGCAAATTCTCCGTCATGGGCAAGGACAGAGAAGGACAAGCTTGAGGGAACAAGGTTAGCGAGTAAGTCTGCAGGGCTCCAACAACCGTACGGATTCAAGCCTGAACTATCACCCCACGCCTACAGTAGGACCTTCCATTTGCGGTAAATACAACCGCATGATGTCTCGCTCTTGCCCGGGGCTTCCAGCTCGGACGACATAGGGTCCCTTGAGTTGAAGCCAAACGAACTCAATTACCGTGTCTGCTCGACTGCAAGCAAGAGGAGGCGTACATCATCACTTCAGATGTAGCCATACTCGTCAGGATTCGGCTCCTCCGGGTGTCCACGAGACCATGCCTCGTTATGGCTCCCTGTCCTTTACGGTCAAGGAAAGGCTTTTCATGCATGACTGTCATATAAACTCTCGGAATAACTGTCAATCATTGCCGACTGCCGTCATATGTGTCTCAACCCAAGCACATGTATGATCCAAATCCACTTTGACCAAATCAACACGGATACTGGGCCACAACCCGCAATGTCACGAGCTAGGGCCACATTTTCAAGAGCGGCTTGCGTAGGTCGACAAGCTGACAGGCAGGTCTAAGCCAGCCTCCCTTTCCCGGAAGATTTCCGATATCCCAGTCTTGCTCATGATTGTGGCTCGACCAGAACAGAATCTCAAGCTTGCGGAGACAGTATCCTTATCCGCGAGACCAATCGGTCATGCTGGAAATCAACGGTTAATGACACTGGCATCATCGAGGCGTTCCTGTTCAATGATCCTGGTTATTGAAACGACACGCTCGCGACAGCACCGTCTGCGCCATGTTGGACACCTCGCTGATCCCGGCACGATGCCTCCGACTCTTGTTATAGGTCTCGATGCAGAAGAGGTAATGCTGCCGTTGCTAACTTGGTCATCACACCGTGGGCTGAGTGCATTCGATGGGGTTATAAAAAGCTCTGCTAATTCAATGACAGGTCGATAATATGCAGCTCCTCGAGGGTTAGCAAAGTGTCAGATCCACTCAACCCCAGATCGAGCATCGTGCATGATGGCAGGAAGCTACGAAAGAGCTCCAATCTCAAAGACCCAAGCTGCCTTCACAGCGCCACTATTCGCGAACTGGCCCCGTTGTCGGTGGGCCCGGGTTGTATTCGGCTGAATTGAGCATTCGAACCAATGAGGATGGGATTATCTCGGCCGTACCAAGCGTGCGATAGTAGGTAGATGTGGTAATCCCAGCTAGGGGGACGTTTGGTGGTTAGAAGGAGAAAGGCCGAGAGCACATCGTGAAAAAACAGTCTGGAGTGCGCAGGATCACTTGATGACCTATCACCTGCAAAGCCCTCCATACCGTGGTCATGTCACATGCTGTCAGACTTCAGAACCAGGAAGACAGAAATCGTACACTGAAGAAAAGGAAGTGAGAGCCACAGCCAAGCTCGTTCATCGCCGGTTACGACCTCCATGGGGCTCCAAGCCTCCAAACCTCTGACCTTCTCCGCTTCTGTAGCGTTAATCTACCTCGCATCGGAGGGTGTCTGCAGCTATCAATTTTAGGATAAGAGCACAGGGGCGAGATTCAGCCATGGATGTGCATCCTTGCTCTCCCTACTATGATGTGCGGCGACATTAAGTCCAGCCCGTGGCTAGGATTGGCCATTGTACCTCTGCTGGTTTTAGACGCTGGGTCAACAACCAGTCCTGACACAAGTACGAACGAACTTCTTTGCGCGCCCATCCTTTGTCCCGCGCGAGGGAGTAGTAGTTACCCATTCCGGCACTATCTACTATCACCACTATGCGAAAAATCGTGGAGAATCATTGCCTTGTACTGACTTAAGCCAGCCGTCCGTGCACTAGGATCCCATCCTCCTAGGACCATTTGTGGCCCAGTCGAGTCCCACAGACATCGGATCGCAGCTTCCTTTGGGGCCTCGAATGCTCTATCTCTGAATCGGTCTGTAAGTGTGGAGTAAGAAGAGGAGACTACTTGGTCTGGCGCAAGACTGGATTAAAGAGGGCGAGGTCAACACTATGGAGTGGTGCCGTTTGGCCCGCTAGGCTCGCAATCCTGGCCCACCCTTTGATTATCATAGATGAAGTGTAATGTCTTTTTCTCGCACCGCGTGCCAGCTTATCAGCTCGGAAGATAATGTCCTATCCACCTAGACTTTGGGATGCCTGGCCAGGCCTTCAAGAGGCGATCGCGGTGATGCTGGAAAAGGGCCGATCCATGGTGATGAACCAATTGGGAGAGGTAGAACTCCACTAGAAGCACTAAAAACTCCCTGGTCCGAAGTCTGCCATGGACAGTCTGACACGAAAGGCAACAAGTGCGATACCATAGGCGTCCTACCAGCCGTTGGTTTATCTCGGAGGATTTGACATCGTCGGTGGCGGGTGAAGACCAGAGGCAAGTGCTGTAAGCCTGGGAAGTGAGAGACACGAAACTGCTCACTAGCCGGGAGTCGATGATGAGAGCATCTAAGGTTTGCCGAAAGGGTTTGAGAGGCAACTAAAAAAGAAAACAAGAAAGGAAAATTCGAGGTAAAATGAATTCAGAGCCCAAGAAAAATTTTTTCTTTAAAAAAAAAGCAATGAAAAAGACCAAAAATGGGCAAGAAAGGAAAGGCAGCGAGGAAATTAGGTGACGAGCGGAATCAGGGAATAGGCAAAACAATGAAGAGGGAAAAAAGCGCATTCCTCCTTGAGACACCACCATCGGCAGCATCCTGAAAGGAGCAAACGTACCGGTTCGCTCGAATAATTAATTCCTTGCTGACCTGCGGCAAGCGCGCTTTGCGCGACCTGAAGCGGTTGCAGCGCAAGACCCCAGATGGGAAGAGAGTGGAGAGCTTGTCTTAGACGGTCCCGAAATCTGGGCTCATGCTGGAGAGGTGGATCGCCCGCTGAAATCTGGTAGCCTTCTTTCTTTCATTGTTCAGGTGGGCAACATGTTGTGGTTGCTGCTGCTGCTGCTCCTGGTGGTGTTGCTGCGGCCACTTTTATCGCTCAATGACTAGCATGTTACTCTTCTGCAATGTATGCAATGTATGTATATGCACATCGCATCCAATCTCGCTAGTCGGTTCATGGTGTAGGGTCTGCATCCCGTGGGGAACGCAGTAAAGGACTGGCTGTGACGGCTAGAGGGACTGCAAGGACACCTCATAGTACGTCAGAGTCGATTACATACTTTCTCTGAACGACTTAGCCTCGAGATAGTGTCACTGCCGCTCCGAACCCGTCTGACCAGTCGCAGCGTCCGAAATGGCCAGCAGGGCCGGCACGTCAATGAAGGCTGATGGAGACCTCCTAGGTGCCTTCAATCGGTCTCCAGCATGGCAGGCAGACCCCGTAGAATTTCATAGCCGCCTAATTGATGACCGTCGTCCTCTTACGTTGGAGCTGATGACCAGCCGATGCCGAGCTGATGCCGGCTCACGCAGGATCCCACGCGCTTTTTCTCGGCCCATGCCCACTCTATCGCACAGGGGATGGAAAATGTAGGATAATTTCTCATCAATCCGGTCTGGAGACATGCCTGCCCGGCTTTCATGCTAAAGTGCGCCATTTCTTTCTCATGCTCCTTCTGTCGTCGCGAACCCGATTTCTTCTCTCCTGCGTCCGCTCCGGGGAATAAAAGACGAATACCGCTGGGGCGGAACCGCAGGAACCTGTTAGACAGGGGAATCAATGTGTTCTGAACTCGGATCGGGTTCAGCTCACGAGGTCTTTCCAATCGAGGCGCACAGACAAAAATACGCGTGGGCTCCGCCTGACGATTTTCCTGGGAAGGCGCAGAGGTACCGTCACAGCCATGACTATTCTTTTCACCATCCCCATGGTATGTGAGTAAGCGCATTAAGTTCGTGCCACACTCGCTCGGCTCGAGCGAGTAGATAGGTAATGCTACCGTCGCAAGTATACTGGAGGCTTAGTACATGCTCCGGCTGCGGATCTAGAGCGGAGACGGACCTGCGCATCGTTGGGTCTACTAAGCCACTTAGAGTTCGCCTCTCGATGGGTCCTCCTCCCCGCGTTCACCAGAAGGCCCCAGTCGACTTGGATTTTGACAAAATGCTGGATAATTTGGTTGGATCATGTGGATGCTGTCAGGTCTTTTTCTTTTTTCGGGGCGGCGAATTGCGGCTTTTGCGGGGAAAGACAGAACGTATCAGAAACCGACCCAATGTATTGAATCCGGAATGTAGAAATCCCCTTGTTGATATCGTCTGACCTAATGATGATCCCGGACACTATAACCTGCCGTCACGAATATAATTGGGGTCATTACCCTCACCGGGGGAAGGGGTTTCGCCATCGTTAGTGCGGCCCCGGTCTGGTTTGCATTGCGAAGGCTTTGATATATAAGAGTGGTCAAAGATTCTTCGCAAACCGGCCTCTATCCTCAACCATCTCCCTTTTTGTGTCAGAGCTTATCTTACACTTTTCCGTACAAAGTACTCTCAGCGGGCAATGAATACCTCTATATGCGTCGGAGTCGCGTTTGCGTTTCTTTTCCTTATCATTTCGAAGACCCGAAAGACCCTCTTGTCAAGATGGGTCTCCACACCAAACAATGAGGTGAACTGCAGTGACCTCAAGCCATACCCGGCTCAACCCATCAAAGGTCGAGAGAGGTACCGAGTGATGATGGACGTCCGGAGGTTAGACGTGGCAAACTGGCTCACTGTCGACAACAACTACATGGATGAGCATGTTGTTCGGGGTCAATTATTGGAGAAGGAAAAGAGTAAAGTGCTGCAATGCCTTCCAGAGTCATACGACGCGTGCATGGAAGCATTGGAGGAGGTGGTCGACTTCCTTTGTCAACGGTTCTCGACCGTGTTCGAACGAAAGAAGTCCGGTAACGAGTGGACCATCCATAACAAGATGACGGGTGAGACGTTTGTCGTTGGTGGAGAGAATAAGGAAATCGATCCGCTCGAGGTTGCCGTGAGGTTGACGATGGAGGATCTGAGCATCCTGATGAAGAACGAAGACGACGAATACTACCTGTTAGTATACACTATCGCGACTCATTATCGTTTACTCGGACAGTGACTGATGATTTCGGACAGAGCGGCCAGCGCAAGTCTATTCCCAGTGGGATGGACGGTGCAGGAACGTATCGGGTGGACGATTTCTAAACTTCACAATCCTGTGCCTTTGTGGCACCAGCAAGTCGCTAACTCTGTCAGCAAGTGAGTGGCCTCCTTCATAGCTCAGCCGCAATGAGTGAGGAAAGAATTGCGGTAACGGATTTCTTCAATTCTAGATTTCTTGCTCGTCTGACTCCAGAGTCCCCGATGGAAAGATCTAATTACTTCGTCGAAGTAAAAAGACCCGACGAAGAACTGTTCGATATTCTCTACCGCCCGACTTCGTTGTCCGAAGACAATCCAGATCCATCCCCGCAGGATATTGTGATTCGACGTGAGCGTCAGACATTCCGTCGATTACCTCGTACGGGAACGATTGTGTTTGGTGTCAAGACTTTTTTGACAACATTGGAGGAACTGCCAATGCAAGAGCTGCAAAATCTCGCGAAGGAGATCAAGAGTTGGCCCGAGTATGTGGGAGAATACAAGGGTCGGGAAATTTGGGGACCAAAAGCACTCGAGTTCTGCGAAAAGAAAACTCGGATGATGGAAAAGCAGGAGGTCTAATGAGAGGAAGGAAGAAAAAGAAGGAACGGAATGAAGGCAGGCGCGGAAACAGCATTGGTGGTATTTTGCCTCTCACGCTTCACGCTTCACGCTTCGTATCCCTTCGTTGCATTTGGGCCAGCAAATCGATGGAGAGGGCGGCTGTCTGATTATCATTTGCAAAAGTCACTGTCCTTAGCATTGCATCTGTACTTTTGAGCCTGTTTTGTTTTGTTTTGTCTTGATATCCGTTCTTGGGCTGGTTGTCTGTCTATCTGTCTGTCTATCTGGTTGGTTGGCTGGTGGTTATTTGTTCTGTTTTTGGCGGTTCTACTCATTGGCATGGTAGAGATTGGGTGATTTGTATGATTGATGACGGTTATAACACTGAACCATAATGAGGATGACGTTTTTCATGGACAAAATTGACCTTGGATAATGTTTTTGAGCAACAGGTTGCATTAACGTAAAACCATAATCATCGAATTAGGATTCAAAAAGGTTTACAGACGTTAGCGACGTGGGGATATGATTGAGATGAAACGAAGCCAGTATAGAGAAGCCGATGGATGTACCAATGGATTGGAAGATCTATCGAGTATGCAATAATTATATAGAGAATGTTGTATGTTCAATTGACAGTTCTACAAGATGCAGGACGGGTATATTATGTAGGTGTCACATTTCTCAGATCTTAGATCGTGGCGGTTCATCCTGCTTGAGCCGTACGACACCCTGATCCTCTCCAGCATTAGCACTGACTCAAACCAAGTGGGGACTTCGAATACGTAGGACAGCCATACCTCTTGCGTGCATGTGGCGATAAGAATTCCATCTTTGGACCAGAACTTCTGAAGAACCAAGCCTCTTCCCTCGCCAGCCCACGGACTTTCCATCTCGGAGAACATCCATTCGTCTGCTCGGAATGCCCAGGGATTGTGAAAGTAGATCGAGTGGTCAAGGCTTACCATCATGCCCACTTCCTTGTGTTCTTTGGGGTCCTGACTCGTAGCCTTGCTCAAAGCGCCCTCTAAGCGACGGCGAAGCTCCACGGTCTCTTCCTCTTTTAGCTCCTTCAGCGCACGTGCAATGTCTTCATCGTCTAGATCTGACGGGTTCTTGAGAGCTTTGAGAAGCTTCTCGAGCTCGGCCGGCGAGGAAAAGCGTGGGATATCGTGAACTCTTGACACAGTGCCAATGAAATAGCTGTCGGTAATGTATGCAAGGGCGGATAGGTGGGCACGGTGTCCTCCTGCATCGGATATCTTCCCTCGTGACCGGAAAAACCGTCTGACCTTTTTGTCTTCCGGGGCCAAGTGACCTACAAATTGTTAGTCCACGACGTCAAGGGAGACCCATCACTCCGCGTTCGAATACTGACGATTTACAATCCCCGCTCTGTGTGATTCGAATGGTCCGCCGCCTGATTGTTGGAATGCCCGTTTGGCACCAGGTTCCGACTCCTCTGGTAGCGCGACGGATGGCATAGATGAGGCATGCTCAAGCTTTTTCCTACCGCCACTGTTGGCTTTGCTGAAACTCAGTGTGGTGGTGAAAATAGGTCGACCGCGCTGCCTAGCTTGCACCGTGCGGGTGGTGAAACTTCGACCGTCGCGGACTCGCTCGACGTGGTAGACGATGGGGATTTCAGAGTCGCCAGCCAAAACGAAATAGCAATGCATGCTGTGGACGGCAAAATCATCGGGGACAGTTCGCATCGCGGCGGCAAGAGATTGGGCGATGGCGGCACCGCCGTAAATGCCTCGTGCGCCCGGAGGATGCCAAAGAGGCCGGGTGTTTGTGAATACATCCTGGTTGGATTAGGCGGAATTAGAATTAGCCCCTCAGATGAAGAAAGCAAGAGAGAAAGGAGCAAGTGTCATACTCTGCCCACGTCAACCACAGGGGTCAACTCTAAGACGTTCTCTATCGGCGCTTTCGAAGGGTCCAGTGGCGGGGCTTCGAACAAGGTCACGGATTTGGCCATAGTGGGCATACACAGTCCCTAACAAGCACAGGAAGTAGTCTTGAATGATTGCAAAGCGCTGAGATATGAAGGGCGCTCTTTTAATTTGAAGCCCAAGTCGGAAAAAGGGTCAGAGTTCAGGAGTCAAGACAACTTTTGGAGGGGAAAGTTGGAGTCTTCACTTTCCAAGTCCCGCCCTGCTGTTCCGCGCGGTCTGTCCCAATTGGGTAATTGCCGAGGTTCCATTTTTGTGGATCGGATTATGAAGTGATCTTCATGGATAGAGTCGTTCGTTAAGTCGTGGTTAATGCACATTGATCTGGTATGATGGGGTGTCAAGACGAGATTATTCAGTGTCAGCTTCGGCATGACTTGGGAAGTGCGACCGTCAACGTGTCAGATGACAGCTGTTGCACAGCGGCTCTATTATGACTATAGATGCTGGACTTGCACATGCTCCATTCTGTCAAACTTGATGCTGAAATCTGAAGTACGGTGGGTATGTCTGCCAGAGGCATGAAAGGCCGATTGTTGAAGTATGGAATTCAATGCACTTTCTGTCTACCTTGAGCGGCACTCATAGCCGATCTATTTTCAGACTCTACAAAATTAGGCACCTATCACAAACCATTTCCTACATCAGCATGGTCGCTGTGCCCAGGCTACGCTGAAAGTAGACCCAAAAGAGTGAAATGGTAGAGAAGTAGATTTAAAGACACTATGAGCCGGTGGCCCGGTGCCACAGCTATATAATCTAGATTCGCTATGTTTCAGATGGTGTTAACAAGCGACGACTTGACTGGATTGGAAACCTGGAAAAGGTACTTCAAATGATGATATACTTGACTACGACAAGAGTGAGCTTTCAAGTGCATCGACGAGACCAGAAGTGTTGCTGTTTTATACAACTGTTTTGCGCAACCGTGACCACATAAAACACATATCCAATATCCTCAGGGAATCCGGGGGCATCTCATCGGAAATAATTTCCCTCCCGAGGAGGAGGTATGAAGGTATCCCAGCCCTTGCCAGGATTAACCAGCTCGGGAGCCTTGACTTGGAATGTCTTGTGGTACATCTTGGAGCTTCGCTTCTTCTGAGAGGACTCTGGTTCTAAAAGTCGCTGTAATTGCTGGCGCTGCATCTCTTCATCAGTCAAGTGCGGGCTATGGCGATGACCGGCTCGAGATAAACCGGGGATGTCCCACGCATAGGCACATAAAGCTCCAAGGCCAGAAAGAAAAGCGAAGGTGCTGGAAAGGCCAAGGCTGACGATTTCCAGGCTGCCCATAGGGAGCAGATTTCGGCAAATGACGTTGAGCAGGACGTTCAAGAGAGCGAGGAGGTTTGAACCCAGGCAAGGTCTGAAAAAGCATTAGCTGGATGGAATGGAAGATCGTCAAGGCGCACGTACAGAAACAGAGAATAAAGTAGGAAATTGCGGTCCTGAGACTGAAAGCAGACGACTGCGAGCGACAAAGAGTATGCAATGGCGATGAGGATGAAAGCTGCGATTGTCGTGGGTGTCTTATTCGCAGGGAACTCGGCTTCGTCATCCCCGAATGCTAGAGGCAGAACTAGAAACCTTCACAAACAGACTTATCAGCACCTTGTTCTATGCGTTATTTGCGATGGACAAGGACACACCCCACAAGAAGCACTTGCGACGAAAATGCCGCGGAGAATTTCCATAGTGGACTGACGAGCTGTAGCGGTGTTTGTCGCTCCTGCGATGCTACAGAGAGTTCTTGAAGTTGAGGGGTAGACATCGCAGGTGATCCCCAGCCTACAGCTTCTGTGAGGGTCAAGGCAGCATCGACAGAAGCTGTCATCGGTGTGGTCTTGGGTGTAACTTGAACCAAAGTGAGCGCGAGGAGCAATACGTAAGGGAGGCGATGTTTGATCTAAAAACCGGCGGTCAACGAAGTAACCACGACGATACGGCGCGGAAAGTGCGATGTACGATGCAGATACCGTAGTAGAAGACGATGGCTGTGCAGCTGATGGACGGATTCGAGGCGCATGGCAGCAGGGGTAAGAAACGCAACCGGTGCCAGTAAGAAAATTAAGATGGCAATTATAGAACGTGGTCACAGGGGTCGTGCATCACAATCTCTGGCATTCATTTGATCAAAACCTTGACGGCCGCGACTGATAGATTTCAGCGGGCGAATGGCGTGGAGTCAATGGCTGCATACTAGTTTAGTGCTGCTGCTATAGCTTCATCTGTTTTGCGGTTGCTCAGGAGTATTCAATGTCGATCAGTCTTGTATAGCTCGCAACCCACGTGTGATGCAGGCTGCCATTTTCCATATGTGCGAGGGCTTACTCCGTTTTCTTTCCCCCCCTCTCCCTGTGTATTACTAGATCGTTATCTTATGCATGTCTGAGGTCAAATCCCTCACAAGACACCCAGGATGAGTAGTTTGAGAACGGGAGGAATTGAAGTGGTGTGGGGGGAGGGGGTTGGAAATCGACCGAAGGATTTTGCTCTGGCCCGAGCACTTTATCAGCAACAGTCGACAACAGCCTGTCGATTTATGTGGCCCCACTAGCTTGCAGAACCTACCTTGATTCTGGAGGTCTGAATAGGAGACCAATCTGTTTTTTTGATGGCTTATAGTTAACTATATGGTCCATACTTGTATTTCCAGGCCCCCGAGATCGCTTCTCCTCTTCCTCAGCTGTATGGATTTCGGGTTCTGTGTTGATCAGGCGTTTCATGATATGAGTAGTCTCCAGGAAGTCTGCAATGATACTAGTTGACATTGAGATTCTCTCGTTGTCTTGGCGGGCTTCGTATTGTCGGCGGCTTTGTACGTTAAATCCGGCTGAATTCCGTTGACTTGGAGTATCACAACAAGCCCATACAAGCTGAAGCAAGCCGGATTTGTCGACTGTCCAGTCTCTAGTCGCTACAGCAATTCTTAAATCACGAAACCCCGAAAAATCCGCAGAATTACTGCAGCATATATCGTCATCGAATACTTATAGTCAAGCCTTGGGACACCAGAGGCGAAATCATCATGGCAAGTCGAGAAGTCATATCAGACTATGTAATTCTAATGTTTTTGAAACTGTGGTTAGTGGAAGCCATTCAGCTCAATACTGCCACTTTTGTCAAATTCGGCGGAAATGCAGCGCTGATGCTGAGAACCGTTTCTCCTACGCTTTTGAACCCGCCCATACCATCACAAATAGGTACTCGATGTCTCGACCGGGAGCCACTCCCATCAATGGTGATGAATGGTATACCTCTCGAATAATATCCAAATATTTCTCCGTAGTTAGCTTTCAAACAACATATAGTTCTTTCTCGGAGGAACTTGGATTGCCTATGGCACATGTGAGGCCGGAAAAGTTTCAAGAATTGCTATGCTGGATGAAGCCTGGGGTTGTCGGCCGCGGATTAGCGAATGAGGCAATATCTCCTAGAACCTGAGCAACATGACCACTAGCTGGTGTAATTCGATTCCTCGAATCAGTCGCATTGCTTTCCGGGTGCATATACAAATTCGCGCCTCTGTCAGTGCCAGACATTGCCTCTACCTGAGAGTACAATTGACTGTAAGACATCCTTCATGGCGTTGTAGAGATCGGCAAAAGGATACACGAGTTCTTCTTTCGCAATATGGCAGCATTCTCACTGGTTTTTCATTGCCATATTTCGCGTTCTTCCGTCGGATGCTCTGACTAAGAAGCTAACGGAGCCTTAGGTATGTGTCAACTTTGAAGGTGATGCAGGGTAGCAGGTAATGCGACAGACCGGAGCGGAGGCCGCAGGCGCCGAATCTTGTATAAGATGTATCGACTCTTCCAGGGGGCATTGTTCAGTCGTAGGCGTCGCTCGGCGGGAGTACGAGAACTGTAAACTGAATCAAATCATGGAATAGTCTATGAGTAGCTCTGAAATGATGTGAGTGACAGCTTGTCTCCCGAAAGTACGGATCGGGCTTCAAATTTAGATTACTGTACCCATGGTTGATTGAGCTACGTCGTCAGCATCATTGTAAGATAGGCCCGCATTACATCAGTTCCGCATCGCATCCGTGAAGAAGCTCTCAGGAATAGAGACACAATCGAGATGTTTGAACACCTTGTGAGCGACAGGGTGTAGAAACCCAAATTTAGCATGATAGATGAGATCCGCCTGGATATCTCGGTCGGCTTCCCGTTGACCGAAGGGGATTCATGCGCCAATCCGGGACCTCGTCAGGCTGGGCGGAGTTCCAAGGGCTCAGGTTCTTTTACGGTCAGAGAGGATCTGAGGTCAATTGAATATTGCTAGTCCTCTTAACAATATGCGTGTCAATTTAAGGATAGATAGGGAAGAATGAGAGAAAAGGCCATCACTACCTAGGTAACCATGGAGGATGTCATTGTGTGTGTCTCTCTTCATCGAACAAGTATGGCGGGTAACTAACGGGAGAACGGGGACTGGAATGCCTCAGGCTTGGAGGAGGACTTCTCAAGATCTAACAGTAACAACAGTATCAACAATATTGATATTACTTGGTAGAAGAGCCACCAGCCACTTGTCCGAGGAATTCCCAAGACTCAACAGTAGACGTGTAATTGGGAGATTGGGGGTGATTCAGTCAGCCCTATTACCCTACCAATGCTATCATTAGCATTACTCAATTCCTTATACTAACTATGACGACGTTTTTCTTTTTTTCCCTTCAATAACTTTTGCCATCATCATTGCCATGTGTTGACCGGGAGATCGGATTTAAAGCGGTTCCAAGGCGCGGTGCACTGGCAGCGAAAAGTTTTCGGGTTCCGCTAGCCACTAGGGCCAAAAGCAGCGAGGTTCCGGCCATCCCTTTCAAACTAGTCCTAGTCGACTCTTTCACTCCCTCCCCCGTTGCCGGCCGCCTCCCGAGTCCATTTTCTTCCTTTCCAATCTCTGCAAAGCTTCAATCGCTTCGCTCTTCTTTCCCTTTCCCCCACACTCCTCTCCTCCTTTTCCTTTTGTTTCTCTATAACATCCCATATACCCTTTCATACATAATGTCCGTCACTACCCCTAAGGCCGACGCGCCTACTGGCCTTGCCCTTTACTCCAGATTCGCCTTCGCTGGTGCTGTCTGCTGTTCCGTCACTCACGGAGCTCTCACTCCTGTCGATGTGTAAGTCGGACACCGTCTTGTCTCGCCCACGTCGCAATTGAAGAACGCGCTCAGTATTTCCGCCTGTGCGCGCGCTTGATCGACTTGCCTGTCCTACCATCCGACCATGCCCGTTGCTGACGTCCTCTCTCTTTCTCGTGCCTTGCAGCGTCAAGACCAGAATCCAGCTCGACCCGGTCACCTACAACCGTGGTATGATTGGTGGTTTCAAGCAGGTCATTGCCAACGAGGGTGCTGGCGCTCTCCTCACTGGTTTCGGTCCTACCGCTGCCGGTTACTTCCTCCAGGGTGCTTTCAAGTTCGGAGGTTACGAGTTCTTCAAGCAGCAGTGGATTAACCAGCTCGGTTACGAGACTGCCTCCAACAACCGCACCGCTATCTACCTTGCCTCTTCCGCCACCGCTGAGTTCTTCGCTGATATCGCCCTGTGCCCCCTTGAGGCCACCCGTATCCGTCTTGTCTCCCAGCCTACCTTCGCTTCCGGTCTCATGAGCGGTTTCGGTAAGATCCTCAAGAACGAGGGTATCGGTGCTTTCTACTCTGGTTTCGGTCCTATGCTCTTCAAGCAGTATGTCTTTCCGCGACTTCCCGGCCGCCCGCGCCCATAAATCAGGATATGCGCCATTGCTAACTTCCGGCAGGGTTCCTTACACTATGGCCAAGTTCGTTGTTTTCGAGAAGACTGTCGAGGCTGTCTACGGCTTCGTTGACAAGAACTCTGTCTCTGAGGGTGCTAAGACTGGTATCAACCTTGGCTCTGGTCTCATTGCTGGTTTCGCTGCTGCCATCGTCTCCCAGCCCGCCGACACTATGCTCTCCAAGATCAACAAGACCCCCGGTGAGCCTGGTGAGGGTACCGTTTCTCGTCTCATCAAGATCGGTAAGGAGCTTGGTCTCCGTGGCTCTTACGCCGGTATTGGTGCTCGTCTCTTCATGGTATGTTCACTCCTCAAAGGACGACAGATTTGGAATTTGAAGGCTAATATCCTCTCCAGGTTGGTACCATCACCGCTGGTCAGTTCGCCATCTACGGTGACATCAAGGTATGTGGATCTCTGTTCGTCAGCTGCTTCCAAAGCAGATCGCTAATTGAGTATTGTAGCGTCTCCTCGGTGCCACTGGTGGTGTTGAGATTGGCAAATAAGCGTCGAATTGTACGATTACTTGATCATGTTAGACCTTTAGTTTTGAAACAATGCATATATATTAGATTAGAGCATGATTCTGCGAGGTTGGATCCCGCCGACGCCACCAACGGCGGTTTGTACCAATCCGGCGTAGGTACTGCCGATCGCATCGGTTAGGAATAGTACACTAGTATACTTGAAGCGTTACTGTACGTTTGTCATGACATCAGGGATCGAGATGACTTGTGTAACTTACTATATGTGTGGATTAACATTTGTTCAAGAACACATCAGTATAGGAGTGGAGTGTCAAAGCACCCATAGCCCTTCAACACACTCATCTCATCCACGTCGGTATGCTTGGTTATGTATGACCACCCAGCAACTGTGTTGCTCAGAATTTCAGAGCCCTCTGTTGTCTTCTTCCAGATACAGGTCCCGATCACGCCGAGCTCCGATACGACCGGGCCCGAACCAATGCCCTGCGGCGACATGAGCACATTATACACCGCCGGCGAGTGGATGCGCTCCATCAAGATGTATGCACACCACGCGGAACGCGCAACCGAAGCCAGAAAGTCAGGTATATCCGCCCCATAGACATTGTGACCCCCACCCTCATGTGACGGTTTCAACACGTAGTTCCCCGCGACATCTGAATCAGTTGCCCAGTTTCGAGCCCGCAGACCCGCTTGGGACTCATCCAGCGGATACATGGGTACAAACGTCTTTCTGATCTTGGCCGCCTTGTTTGGTGACAGGAACCTCTCCACTGATCCGGGCTCTGTGAGGGCTTTCTGAACCTTCCTAAATGTGAGGATCTGTGCCAATAATGATGGGCATTTGATCGCTCGGGATGTCTCCAATCGCACTCGCGCCCTCTTGCCTACATGGTCGTATTCGTCGGCTTCGTAGCCTGCGCGCAGGTAGACGACGGAGATCTCGATTGGGACTTGTGACTGCAGCCACGATGGGTGAAAGAGCAGCTCTTTCGTTTTGGACAGGGATGTGGTTTCGAGTAGATCGTCGTCCCATTCGACACGGTAGGCTAGGACGGGACTGGCTTGATTCCACAGCGCATATTCGACGGGCCGCTCGTCAGCAATGTTGAAGTTCTGGGGCTGGACAAGAAGGAGGACTGCTGTTTCTGCAGCTACCTTGCTCTTTGCTTGCCCATAGAGGGCGTGCGCTTCTGCGAGGCAGGCAGCTAGTGATTGAATATTGTTATTTTCGGGCAAGGCAGCAAGACCAACAGGTGAGTTTCCGTTTGTGAGGGAATTGTATGCCCCTGTACGGGTGAAATGGCGGTGCATATCCACGGTCTTTTGTGCGTGGGATGCCCCGGCGCAGGAGAAGGTATTGAACTCTACTTGCTTCAGCTGCGGGATGGAGATTGAGCCGTCGGCTGGGTCGATAGCCAGCTTGGAGGTTCCGTCGCCTTGAAGCATGTAGTCCAAACGAAATATTCCACATGAAATATTTTGGGTGTGCCCACCTACGCGCTTGACGTCTTGGTGTATCTCCTACAAAGCCGCAGCAAGCGGGTTGACGTGAAGGATCTCCTGTATGGTTGTCTGTACCCAATGCTCATCTTCGGTCATAGCACAGTACAGCTCGTTATAGATGCTCTGCAGGTTTAGTGCTTCATCGAATTGCGCTCGAGGGAATGGCGTTGGGAACAGCGTGACTCCGATGGGACAGCAGAGGACACTGTGTGCAGATTGGCTGCGGACACGCTTGAGCAGGAAGCCATGATTTATCTGCCAATCCTGAACGCTGGAAGCCAGCCAGAGGCCTTGCTCCTCGGATAGTGGTGGAGGGTACATGTCAGGTTATTGTTCACATGGATGTACAGTAGATTTGACACCATTGATCATCTTATCTCAAACACGGATACAACATAATGAGAGAGTAGCAGTCCGCTCACCACAGAGCTGTGCACTGCCTCACTACCTCATGGCCTACCTAGTACCTAGTACTGATGGGCCTATGACTGATGCGCATGTGAACGATTGTCTTTTGGCACTTGAACTGATTAAGTGTCAATCTGATTTTATTCCTAATGTAGTTAGCGCACTGACTCCACCGTATCCGCTTCGGTGCCTGAGGATTGCCGCTCTTACTCCTCCGCCGCCGCCCCCGAATCTGTGCTGTGCCTGGCCATTGTCACATCTGCATTGATAATCATCCACTTTGATCATGCTCTAAACTCCTCCCATCGCTCGCCATGTTGACCCTGTTTCCAGGGCTCCTTCGGGCCCTTCCCTTCGTTTTTCTTCTATTCACAGTCTCCGTAACCTCTGAGCATACGTCGAACTGGGCCGTTCTCGTCTCTACCTCTCGCTTCTGGTTCAACTACCGCCACCTCGCCAATGTCCTTTCCCTCTATCGCACCGTTAAGCGGTTGGGTATTCCTGACTCGCAAATTATCCTAATGCTCCCCGACGATATGGCCTGCAACCCCCGCAACGCTTTTCCTGGAACCGTTTACAGTAACGCCGACCGCGCAGTCGATCTCTATGGCGACAACATCGAAGTCGACTATCGCGGTTACGAGGTCACCGTGGAGAATTTCATTCGTCTCCTGACCGACCGTCTCGACGAGGACGTGCCCCGCAGCAAGCGGCTTGGTTCCGATGCAGGAAGCAACGTTCTGGTATACATGACCGGCCATGGGGGCGACCAGTTCTTGAAGTTCCAGGACTCTGAGGAGATCGGGGCATGGGACCTGGCGGATGCCTTTGGTCAGATGTGGGAAAAGAAGCGTTACCATGAGCTTCTGTTCATGATCGATACTTGCCAGGCCAACACCATGTATACGCATTTCTACTCGCCCAACATCATTGCCACCGGATCGAGTGCGCTCGACCAGTCCTCGTACTCCCACCATGCGGACAGTGATGTGGGTGTAGCGGTGATTGACCGGTGGACATACTATGTGCTGGAGTTTCTCGAAACGCAGGTAACGAGTGCGAACTCGAAACAGACCCTGGGCGACCTCTTCGATTCTTACGATGAGTCCAAGATCCATTCCCAGCCGGGCGTGCGGTGGGACCTCTTCCCTGGCGGCGAGCAGGAAGGTCGCCTGCGGACGGTGGTCGACTTCTTCGGAAATGTTCAGAATGTCGAAGTTGAGAATGTCAATGGCACTGAGCCGGGCTCCCTCAAGGAGGACCTCATTGAGATAGCCCGGCTGCTTGAGAAATGGCGCACCCACGACCGGGACATGTTTGCCGGGCACAATGACTCAGTTCTGCAGGCTGGGGCAGCCGTTTCACGTCCGGAGTCAGATATACACCATCAGTTGTCCCCGCATCACACAGTCAAGATGAAGGTTGGACCCGCGAGGATGACCGAGGAGTCCACCTGGGAGAAGCGGTTCATTGGCTTGACTGTGCTTGGTGCATGTGCTGCCATCTGGCTCGGCGGCTCTGTTCTAGGCGCGAGCTCTGCTTGATTTGGGATGTCGTATGGCGTGTAAAGCGTGTCCAGTTTTCGTATATTCTATTTGTGTTCATTTTCACTATACCTAAGCTCGTTCGTTATTAATCTTTCTCTCTCTCTCTCTCTTTTTTCTGTTCCTTCTTCTCATGATCACGAAACTACTTGCTTATTAATGGTCTTGCTAACCAAGATGATTGTGATGACTGGGCGTAGTGGCGCAGAGGAACCGGCGGCAATTGCTTTTCTGACCATATTCAAGCAATGATCGCAAACGCAAATCTATCTGGAATCGGGTATGATATCGTCGATTCTAGGACGAACTCATACAAGGCAATCCTATCCTTGGTCTGATTACGGAGGAATCAATGTTCATTCGCATGTGGTACAACATCTAACTATAAGCAGGAACGAACCCCTCCGAGACAAACAGGTACATACAGTACAAGCGCGTAACACGAGAGACGGAAGTGTGTGAGAAGAATTGGAAACATTGTCAGCCCTTCCCTCGCAACACCAGCAACTGAAAGTATGCCGAAGGTCTCCAGCAAAAAGAGGAAAAGAAAAACAGGAAAGAGAGAAAGAGCACTGGGCACTGGGCACCTCCTGGCAAGGGAAAGCTGAGGGAAAGGGGAAATTCTTCAGTGGAAACCAATTGAATTGGGAGTAAAGCAATGAATCCTAAAAGAGAAAAAGAAGGCTTGGCAGAAACTCGACCTCCCGCACGTGCCAGACGCGTCGTCGGGCCCTGGAGATGCGCGACGGGAAAACCGATTATTACTTCGTTACTTCTGTTAACTTACTTTAGCCGCTCAACTGCCCTACTTTGCCCTCTCTTGACTCGATCTCAATTGTCCCCAATAAACATCTTACCCCTCTTAGACAATGGAGTCTTTGACCTTTTAGAATTTGTTCTTCCCTTAACTTGCAAGAGATTGCTCCTCCTACTTCTCTCCCTCCCATTGTTATCCCACCATCTTTCTATCTAAATCCCCCCACGGAGTTGGGGCCTGTGGAAGGGGGCCCTTTCTGTCGCTGCTGCTGGTGCTGCTGGTGCTAGTGGTCCTGCTGCTCCTCGCACTTCACTGTCTACTTTACCAGTTTGTTGAAAACTTTCCCCCGAATACTATCATTAACCCGCGCATACATACGCGCGCGCGCGTGTGTGGAGGTGATTCTCGATAAAAACTTACCAACCTAAAAGAAAAGACCGGCCCAACGGACCTTACCTTCCACGTTCGAGTCGAGGAGAGAAGTAGTGCGGCGGGGGTGTGTCTTTTCGCGCCTTGCTTAGTTTTCACCCGCCGCCATGTATCTCCCTCGTCAACTTATCTCCCATCTATACCTACAATTACTCCGCTCACATCACCCATTGTCCCCACCGGTGCTCATCCTCGTCGCCCTTGAACCCGATGCGCTCTGTGCCTGTCGAATCCTGACCGCCCTACTCAAGCGCGACTATATCCCCCACAAGATCCAACCCGTGGCCGGCTATGGTGATCTCTCGCGCGCCGGCGAGGAGCTGGTCAAACCCATGCGGACGACGAATGGCGGTAGCGGGGGTGTTGTCATCTGTCTCGGGGTGGGTGGCTTGGTTGACCTGACTGAGATCTTGTGCTTGAGTGGCCCGGACGAGGAAGACGAAAACAATAACGAGGATGACGAGGGACGAGGGGCACAGGATATGGGAGGGGTGGAGGTTTGGGTGTTCGACGCACGACGGCCCTGGAACCTATCCAATGTGTTCGGGGGCGAGGCTATCACTGATGCTGGTGGCATAGCAGACACTGGTACCGGCAATGAGAGACGGAAACTGCGCGGGGTGGACAGAGGGTGCATCACACCCGGGTACGCATCGGGCAATGGGGGCATTGTGGTCTACGACGACGGAGATATTGAGGAGGAGCTCGGTAAGGAGCGAGAGGCGTATTGTGAATTGATGGCGATGCCGGAGGTGGATGAGGAAGCAGATGATTTTGACGACATTGACGCCGATGGATCGGAGAGCGACGGTCAAGCCGATCATCCTTCTAGCTCGGATTCCAAGAAGCGGAAGTCGTGGTCGCGCCAGGATGATGAGGACGAATCCGACGAGGACGATGGTCCGCCTCGTCAGCGTAGGAGGAGTGATTCGGTATGTTTTGTTTGTCCGCGGTACTCGCGGCGGTTGTTCTTCGAGGCTAACCTGATTGCTCTCGTGCAGGGCTCGTATATCATCTCATCTCCAAGTCGTCCCCGAAGGATGGGGCACGATTCCTCTAACTCCTCTCGCTCCGTTACGCCGACGTCGGACTCGCCATCCCCCATACATCCCAAACCGCCTTCTGAACGGTCCTTAAGGCGTCGGTTGCTTCGAATGCGAAGGAAATATGAAGGCCTCTTGCAGAGTTACTATAACTCCGGCACGTCGTACTCGGAGCCGATATCGTCCCTTGTATATTCACTTGCGTCCGAGCTTGGTCGAGAAGATAATGATCTACTGTGGCTGGCCATTGTAGGTGTGTCGAGCTTGGAACTTAGTGGCCGAACGATGTCCGGCGTGGGCGTTTCTAACGCGCTGGAGTATGGTGGCTCGGCTGGTTGGGGCGGAGAACGAGGCGAACGAATACGGCAGATCATGAGAGATGAAGTCCACCGATTAAACCCTCCAGATCCCTACGAGCGCGACATCAGAGGCGAAATCAACGGTGTCATCCCGACCACTGCTCGGTCACCAACCGACAAGTCAATCCGACTCTCTCCCGAGCCTCGGTTCCTTCTCATTCGACACTGGTCGCTCTACGACAGTATGCTTCATAGCCCCTACCTGGCATCAAGATTACATGTCTGGACGGAACATGGTAAGAAGCGATTACACAAACTGCTCGCGAAAATGGGCATCAGTCTTAATCAAAGTCACCAAAACTATACTCACATGGATATGGAACTTAAGCGAGTATTACGGCAGCGTCTGCTCAAATACGCACCCATGTACGGACTCGATGGGCTTGTTCCTCCCGAAGCCTCCGGTCATGCTGCATCTCGTGAAGGGTGGGGTTTCGTCCGCTGCTGGGGTTGGAAAGCTTGCCTTTCTGCCACTGACGTCGGCGTTATCATTGGTGCTATTTTAGAGGTTGGCCCGGAGGATGCTCCTGGCACGTGGGATGCGAAACGGCTATCGAAACCTGCCCTCGAGACGAATGACGATGTATCTACTGAATCTGACCTGTCCAGTCTTCTCCCCCGGTTTTGGAGTGCGTATGATGCGCTGTCACTGACATCGGAGTCGCCGACGCTGCTCCTCGGCTCACTTTCTCTTGCACAACATCTCCACCGCGCCATCCTGCGCACTGGTACATCGTTGTTGTCCAAACATCAGATCCGGCACTTGCGCGCATTCCGCATTGCCGTTGTCAAGGACGGCCCGGATCTCAAATTATTCACCAACCCTGGAGCGCTGACGAAGTTGGCTCTCTGGGTCGCGGAGGCCATCCGCGTGCAGGAACGGGAACGAGCGGATACCGTCAAAATCGGCCGCAGACGGGCTGTTGGCACCCCATTAGTTCTGGCCGGGCTTGATGAGGATCGAGGTCTTTATGTGGTCGTCGGCACAGGAGGTGGAGGAGGTGTTGTCGACTTTGCTGCTCTAACCAAACGCCGCGAGGAGAGACGGCGGAAAAAGGAGTCCAAGGAGAAAAGCCGGAAAGAGCGAGAGCAGCGTCGAGTCAAACGCGCTGCGGAGCGTGCAGCAAGGGATGATGACGAGCACGAGGACGGGGACGAGGAAACCGAAGAATCCTCCTCAGAGTCCGAATCGGAATCCGAGGACGAGCAGGACCTGCGTGGCAACAAGCACCTTCTGCGGAATCGGTTTGGGATTGCCTTCCAGGAAGTGGTCCAAGAAACCAGTGCCCGCGTTCGCATCGATAGTTTCGAGCACTGCGTGGTCGAGGTGCAGAAGGAGGATCTAGGAGGCTTTCTCGAAGCTCTCAGCTTCCGCAGCGTTGTTGGCTGATAGCCGCGGCTGGCAAAATGTTCTTAGGCTTATGCCGCGACCCATCCCTTTGTTACTGTTTCATGCTCTATAATCATCTTGATGCGCCTGCTGACACACCAATCTCTTATTCCCTAGTCATGTTTGAGGCGGTATATGGACGTTTTGATACTCTATCTTGCACGGGATGCAGCTTCGAGGAGAGCCGGTGAATTTTTTGTTTTCTGTTTTCTTTTCTGCTTCAAAGTTCTGGAAGACATAAAAGGAGGAGGACATGCATAATGACAGGTTGATAACCATCTTTGCGATCGTTCGACTTTCTTTTTTTTCTTTCTCACTGTGTTCAATGACTGTGACTCCTTCAGGTTGGTTGGTTGTGGGAATTGACACTTTTGGATATAGCTGCATTCTGTCACTGGTTGCTTTGCTTCACTCATGATGACTGATTTGCATCTCCGCACATTGTCATGGCGCTTGTGGTGTTTTGAGTGGATTGGCTGCTGACTGTTGTTGATGTCCTGGTCTTCTTTTCCTATGCATAGCATATAGCATCATGCATTCAGCAAGATATGATTTTTTCTCTTATTTCTCTCGACCGAGTGGAGTGACTGGAGATTGAAGACACGGGGAGTTCGGCTTTCTGTCCGATCTTACTCACTCTCTCCCCGCTTTATCTCCCCACATCGCCTTATCTTTCCAGTCTATTTATTTATTGCGCCCTCACCACAACAACCAACCCCCCCCCTCATCATGTTCCGAATAACCAAGCCATAGAAAACTTCATACTCACCATGGCTAGTATTCGCAAATACCCGGTGCTGTCGCGCCAAAGCACCCTGGCTCAATTGCCCCCTGAGTCCACCATCGACGCTGAAGCCCAGATCGCAAAGCTCCTCTCGACTACCTCACCCAGTCGTCTCGTCGTGCTTGATGACGACCCCACTGGCACCCAAACCTGCCATGACATCGCTGTCCTTACCGTATGGGACATTGACACCCTTGTCAAGGAGTTCCGCCAACCGTCCGGCGGGTTCTTCATCCTGACTAACTCGCGCGCCTTTCCCGCCAGCGAAGCCGAGCAGCTGATCCGCACCATCTGCGAGAACGTCGCCGAAGCCGCCGCACGCACCCATCAGACAGTGGACATCGTCCTCCGCGGTGACAGCACGCTGCGCGGCCACTTCCCCCTCGAAGCCGACGTCGCGCAGTCGGTGTTCGGCCCCGCCGCAGCCATCATCCTCGCCCCCTTCTTCTTCCAAGGCGGCCGCCTCACCTTCAACGACGTGCACTACGTCGCCGAGGGTGACTCACTCGTTCCTGCGGGCACCACCCCGTTCGCGCGCGATGCCACCTTCGGATTCCACAGTTCCGACCTCAGGGACTACATGATGGAGAAAGCACCGGGACGGTTCAGCCCCCAGGAGATCCACTCGATCACCATCGAGGATATTCGTCTCGGAGGACCGGAAGTCGTGTGCGAGAAGATGCGACAGATTCCCGAAGGCAATGTGGTAATCGTGAACGCCGCCGCGGAGTCGGATATGCATGTTTTTGTCGCCGGGTTACTTCTGGGTATGTCCCCCGGCCCCTATTCTTTCCTCATCCCGGATCAGAAACAAGGTGCATGGCGGATTACCCCCTAAACATCTCTTTCCCTTCCTCCTACACCTGGTCACCCATGCTGAATAAACAACCTATACTATCAAGCCAAATCCCAATCCCAGTCCGCAAAACCCTACCTCCACCGCACGGCCGCCTCGTTCGTCTCCACCCGCCTCTCCATCCCCACCATTTCCCCCCTCACAGCAACCGCTCTCGACCTCCCGCACCCCAAAAGTACAGGAGGGCTCATCCTGGCCGGCTCGTACGTGCCCAAGACCACCGCGCAACTCAAGTCTCTAACGGACCGCCACGGGCCGATGGGCACCAACGCCCTCGCCATCCTGACCCTCGATGTCCCTGCGCTCCTTACCCAGCCTACCCCTTCTCCCTTCGCCAACGCCACCGATGACAAGACCCCCAGAATTCACACCGCAATGGCAGACCTCGTTACCCACATCCAGACGTCCTTGCAAGCAGGGAAGGACACCTTGGTGATGACGAGTCGGGATCTCGTGACCGGTGACGGAGGAGGGGAGAGTCTAAAGATCGGAGGAAGAGTGGCAGAGGCTTTAGTGGAGGTGTTGAGGGGGGTGGTCGCTGGGGTAAGGCCGCGGTATATTGTTGCTAAGGTTCGTAGAGCAAATTCGTTTTTTTTGTTTTTTTTTTTTTTTTCCTTTGCGGCTCGTTTCCTGGCTCGATGTTTTTCTATGTGGTTTCGCTCAGATGGGCTTGGGAATTCTGGGACCTTGCCGGGTTTGCTCTAAAGGGTTGTTGACTGATTGCCCATGACTGGATGGCTGACTTTTCTGGTGGTTCTGGCAATAGGGTGGGATCACTTCGTCCGATGCGGCAACGAAAGGACTGGAGATCAGGCGCGCCATGGTGGTCGGCCAGGCGGCGCCGGGAGTGCCAATTTGGCGTTGCGATGAGCCAACCTCGCGACATGCGGGGGTTCCGTTTGTGGTATTCCCGGGTAATGTCGGTGGGGAGGGAACATTGTGTGAGCTGGTTGAGGCGTGGAGTTGATCAGAGTGATGTTCGGTTACGACAAAATTGGGTGTGCATATACCACACTAATCATACTGATAGAAGTCATTCATAGACATTATACGGCGTCAAATCAGTGGAAGGAAAGCTAAAATCTGAAACTGAGATTGTGTTAGAGTGGCCCCATGGCCACGGAATGTGTAGCTTTATTCGACTAGACCTAACTGGCAGATACACCAGCACCTAAGTCAAAGCATGCAAGGCATTATGTACAGCGGTTAACCGTCGGTTCCTGAAAAGCGGCTCCAAATGATATCCTGTACCCTTACGGCCATTGAGTCATGGGAAGATAGCTGTCCGGCTCTTACGACCAATTACAAACCGGCGGCACCTCATTGATGCGAGGCATGACCATCTGTAGTATGCCACTGGCTGGCTGGCAGGGACATGAGGAGTACGAAGTGAAGACTGGAAGCAGCGCAAAGAAAGACGATCAGGGCAGAGAAGTGTAGAAGAACCAACCTTGAAAAAGTTTTGCCGGTAGGCGTCGACTTGTTCGCAATGCAAGCAATCCGGATACCAGATCAACTGGGTAATCGGTCAGATACGGCTGCGATTGTGTTTTTATCAATGCTTGTTCGTCCAGAGCAAGGGAACGGCTTATTTCGAACCCAAATACCGTTCATCAATTTCTGGCCCTCGGCTTGTGTTTGGTGGGGAGCAGGCCCCGGTGGAATTGTGTTCTCGGATGCACTATACCACGACTCACGCGGGCGTGGTTGCAGTGCTAGCCACCCCGTTGGAGATACCATTGGATGTGACCTGGCGCTTGGCAGCCGATTGGGATGCGTCCTGTGAAATCAGTTGATATCAGTTATATCCAGACATCGGATCTGACAAGTTTCACACGATACGCGATGATGCGCATTTCGTTACGTGGGCTAGCGCCGCTTCGTGATATACTTTGACTATCTTGTTTGCACTTACGTCCAATGAATCGATGCTCCGCTTGTGGCCGCTTGTGTCGGACTTCTTAATGACCTTCTTCTTCGGCCGAAGGGGCTTCTTCTCTCCGGGTTGGAAAACATCATCCGGCAGGTCGAAACTGGCAATGATCATCAGCATAAGATTTGCTTGTGTAGTGCATGAGACACTTACTTGCGAACATGAGTGATAGCCACATCCATGACCCCGGGCTGATATCCAGGCCATGTGGTGCAAAGAGACTTGAACAGCTGGGCATCGGATGAGATATCCAATGACCGTGAGGCACCTTCACAGGTCAGCGAGTTCACAGGTGAGGCGCATTTGACGTACCTGGTTCGAGTGGTTTCAGCTCCAGCCCAATATAGTACGTTGCCGTATACATGACTCGAGTGTCCTCGGCAGCTTTCTCTTCCGTAGCCGGAATCTCTGTATTTTCCGCACCGTTTTGCGCAGCAGCTTCGTGGGCCGCATCCTTAGTCTCATCAGTGGTCTCGGTTTTGATTTCCCTATCCTGGTACTTAGTAGAGCCAGTCTTGACTGCCTCAATTTCCTCCTCGGAAGAAACCTTGTGTACCCTCTCGAAACCTTTAGGGAATGGATGGGCGACGGCAATTGTAGCCTTCCTGTCAAGGGCACCGACGAGGTGGCGGATTTTAGATTCCACAAGACCAGACCACACCGATTCTGCTTCCTTGGTTCGGCTGGAAGCCGTAATGCTGAGGTAGTATTTGTAGTCCTGAGTGAAGAACGTGTGCCGTTTGAACAAATCATTCCAGTTGAGCTGCTTCATGAAAATCTTATCCACAATGTCACCGCCCCTCTGTAACTCTCGAAGAATCACAGTCTTGGTTGACACGGAAACATTGTGAGTAGCGCACATGGAGGGATAGGCAGGCGTGATAATGGGCATCAAATGGAACCGATCACCGTTGTAGATCTATACTGACATCAGTTACTCACCTCGCCACGCATCGTTACTTTTCTCGGAGAAGCTTTACCTTAGGGTTCCACACTTTCATTTGGAGAGGGCCATCTTCAATTGGCTTCAGTAAGACGGGCTGAGGCCAGGCCCACTTTGTCATGATCCGGAAGAATTTGCCAACAATGACTGAGCCGGTGGCTTGAGGGTATAGTTGACACACTCGTGCGACAAGCATTGCCCAAGCAACGCCACCTGGGAATCCCACAACATTGGCATAAATCGCTCGCTCTAATCAAAAGAGGTGATGTTAGCGCAACAAGAAATATAGTCTAGGACCATGGACATGGGCACTTACGCTGTGCCCACAGCTTAATGGCGCGCAAGGCCAGGCGGAAGGTTTTTTGCTGAGGTACAAGCTCCAGAATCTGGTCGGTCACACGGGTTCCATTGAGCGACCGAACTTCCTTTTCATCCAAGCCTCGCAGATAATCATTGTTTTTTAGGTCGAGACTCATAGGCACGGATGGTACGATCAGGCGCGCGAATATCAGATCGATGCTAATGCCCGACAGCTCCATCTTTATGATTGGGACGAACGCATCGGGGACTGGTGTCATTTTCTCGATTGCTCCAGGTGGAGCCATCTGTTCAAGGACAAGGGGGAATTCAGCAAAGAAATCGTCGATGACGACATGCTTGGGTCCGACCACCAGCGTATCAATATCCGAACCTATTGACAAAAGGCATCAATATCCCTGATCTTAGCTCTGACAGGCAAATTCGGCCAAACCAACCTGGCCCATAAACACCAAGGCGGTAACTGCCGTATGTGAGAATCTTCCCTCCAGCTGCCTCCACGGCCGCAGGGGAGAGACCCTTCTTGCGGCTGACAACTTTGACAAACTCGATGGCGACACGCTGAAGAAGTTGAAGGACTTGTTGTCTAGGGTGCACAAGCAAAGTCAGCATCTTTCTGAAGCAGCTTCAGCCAAACCTGAGAGGATCCGTCTCACCTCCGTTCGGTCTCCGCCGGACTTTCGAAGTTATTCTGCGCCTTCAGCTCGGAAATCAGATCATCGTTGGCGGTAAGCTCATCTGGAGTAGGAAGGGCGGTGGAAATCGGAGGAGTAACTCCCCACTGCCTGGCTGGTGGTGCTGTCATGTTGGCTCTTTCGTCTGTCGAGTGTTACAGGATAAAGCGGTTGCGCCGAATAGGCGCTGGGTAGGCAGGCAGGCGACTAGATACGGAATAGGCGCGAAAAGTGAAGGAAAGACTAGACAAAGTGTGGAATAGGAAATCACCAGCTATGATGAAAGGAATATCTTAGAGCGTGGTAGTGACAATATGAAAGGGGGAAGATTAAAAGGGAAGGTAAGGAAAAGTGGCTGGAATTGTAACAGCTGCTTTGATCGATTCGGAGTTGGAAATGAGGAGGCGCTTGGAGGTTTATCGCCGGCCACCAGATCAGCAGCTGATTCAGCATTCCAGCCCCATCACGTGCGTGTGGATGATGGTTGATTGCGGGAAAGCACAATCCAATTCACTGGGAAGTTCGGTTACAGGTTCACGACAGTCTCTTTGAATACTAACTTATTACTTGCTGCTTGGATCCACCTTAATCATTACTAGTGCCCTCCCAAGGTCATAGACTTGAGCTTCTCCCCCAATGTTTCTCTGACAGAAGAGGTTTCCCCGTGAAAAAATTCATTCAACTTCTTGTCCAACCAGCCGAGATCATCCTTACTCAATCCCGGACCACCAGCCCAATCTGTTGAGATATGCCTTAGATTAAAGCCTCAGTCAGGTTGTAGGACAAAACTTACGACCCCAAATCGAGGGGAAAATGCCGAGAGCACCAAGTCCCGGTGCCATACAGGCAACCTCATACTCCGAATCCTCGGGCCTGTGCGGTTGGCTATGAGTTTCTGCCTCAAGATAACACACGCAGCACGACACACTTACGGGAAGTATAGGTCGGTTCTTCCAGGCAAGACCAAGACTTTTGCTCTGATAGAAGCCATGGCCTTCTCGAAATCCCCGTTGTATGGCTCTTGATCTGCCACATTTCCATTCTGCCATGTTTGCAGCATTGTCAGGAGATTGGCTGGGTCTAAAATGCAGGTCCTATCAATGAAGAGTCCTCGATGCATGCATTCGTGCGTCGCTAGGCTGACCTTTCGAGAGCGCCCAGCTCTCCCAGAAGCTCACCATGAAATCCTCTAGATCTTTGTATCCGAGGACGCTTTCATATAGCTTTTCCCGGTAGAATGCTTGTGAAAATCCCCTTTCACAGAGAGCACGTCAGAATGTCTCCCGCTCCAGACAAAGATTATTCTTACCAGCCAGCATAGCCCCTACCAAAAGACTTCAGCCCGATTTGTTTCTCTCTCTCGCTCCATGTTCTATCAGACTGACCGGCTTCGAGAACACCGGCATTTCCAGACCCTGCTGAAGAAATGTGCTTCGCTGCGAGTAGTGCACTTTTCACGCCCTCAAGGAATACTTGGTTATGGAGCGACGTCCTGGCTGAACCGCAAAATGGCACCACTAAATCCATAAACTCGGGATACTGTGTCGCCCACTGGAAGCTTTGCGCGGCTCCCATTGACCATCCAAGCACTGCACGTAAATGAGGGATGCCTAGATGCTGGGTCACTAGCATATGCTGAGCGCGAACGTTGTCGTAGATGGAGCATTTTGGAAAGGGCCCTTGAATGGGATAATTGGATGGCGAGGTTGACTGGCCATTCCCGAAGAGTGCGGGGATGATTATGTAGTATTTATTGGGGTTAAGGGTTTTGTCCTCTCCGATCAACCAGAGATTGTCGGAGATCTCTGTATATATCAGCGTAAGTGCACGACTACCTTGTAAGTTGTAAATCAAGTTACATACGGCCTGAGAACCAGGAGGGGTAAACAATGGCGGGCGACTTGGGATTTCCAAACGTCTTGAATGCGATGTAGGCGTCGACCAGCTTCTCCCCGCTCTGAAGCTCCCAATCTCCCAGCTTGAAGGTCTCGTAATCGTTCTTCGTCATCATTTCGAATGAAGAACTATAGAATCTGAGATGGGAGACTTGCTCGTAGAACAATCACTGGTGCTGATGCTGAAGTGATGGCGATGGGATAGATGGGGAACGAGGGGTCGGTCTGCGAGCCTTGCCTTGCCATGTTTGCCTTTTGTCTTCCTCTTATCGAAGCACCCGATACAGCCGTGTTCCCTGCTTGCTTCTCAGCCGTGCGGGGTTTTATATTCAGCTACGGTTGATGATTACTTGATAAGCCTCCCAATGCTCCCCCGACTTTCCGTCCCGCCGCGGGGTTATTTATTCGGGACGCTTACAAACGGGAGATGCGGCAAGGATAGCTTATCGACAGTGGGACTTTAATGCCACGCTATATCTTTGCTCTCAACATTCTGGAGTGGCGTGGAAATAAGAGCACACTTGTGACACGTCATTGTGGAAATATGGCTCGGTCCTAGCACGGCAACCTCACGCCAGATTGAAATCCCGCCCTGTCCTTCGGCTGTCCATTCTCAATCCCAGTCCCAATGTACCACCGTGTCTCATCAATCACTTTGTGCCACTCTCTGAAGCCGAAATATCATCTTGCGTAAGTCAATAACCCAGACTGGACAGTCTCCATACCCAATGATCGAGCACCAACAGCAGCTGGCTTTACTAACGCATGCCTAGTGTCCCAAAGAGAATTCCCTGTCCCTACATCCGAGCAAGTTGTCCTCCTCGATCCTTTTCTCACTCTTCGAATATGTTCCAAAATCACGACGATTTCGAGAAAATTCAGGCATCTCGGCCGGACTTCAATCGGGACATCCCTGTCACTTTTTCGAAGCCTCCCAAGCCCGATTGGAAGGAGGGAGACGGAGGCAACGATGGAGGCGAGAGTCTGAAGAAGAACCATGTGCAAATTGACCCGTACGAGGAAGGGCGCCCCGTGGCTTCTAATTACAAACTTCTCATCTCCGGGATGGTCCCCAGACCCATTGCGCTCATCAGCACGAAGTCCAAGGATGGGAAGACAGCCAATCTTGCCCCGTTCAGTTACTCACAGGTTATCAACCATGATCCTCCACTCTTTATTGTGGGCTTTGTTGGCTCCCTTGACAAGGCGAAAGATACCCTGAAGAATCTGGCGGAGACCGAGGAATGTGTGATCAATATCATTTCGGAGCATTTCGTGGAAGCGGCCAATGTGACTGCCATCAATGCTCCCTATGGCGTATCGGAATGGGAGGTCTCGGGATTACACCAAGAGCCCAGTACCATTGTCAAACCAGCTCGGGTCAAAGAGTCCATCATGTCCATCGAAGGGAAGCTTGTCGAGACCAAGGAGTTTGAAAGCCGAACGACCCCGGGGAAGAAGTCCAGTGTCCTCGCGATCATTGAAGGTGTCCGGTTCTGGGTTCGAGATGATGCCCTCAATGAGGATAAGAGTATTGTCGATCTCAAGGTTCTCAAGCCCATCAGTCGCCTGGGGGGCATTTCATACGGGCGGACTACCGATGCGTTTGAGATCCCTAGACCGCATTTCTAGATAATATGGAAAGTAAAGTCCAGTGACTTAGGTGGGAGATGTAAAGGTTCCTCGGGTGATGCTTATTGTTATAGCAGCTAGAGGCATGATAGAATGATCGATAGAATTTTTCACAATAGAGAGGGTACGGTGGTCATCTGAGTTGAGGAAATCGCGTTGCAAGTTCAGTCCCAAAGATGTGAGTGAAGTCGAACGGCATTCATTGTTGACTGCCTGCGACGTGTTCTAAAGTTAGCGGATGGGAAGGGAAATGAATCAGTGGGGAACGAAAGAGAGCCGACCGAGGAAGTGTTTTGTATGGAATCCGCCCGAGGTGGATCTGCTCGGGTCAACTAAAGCTCGTCCCCCCCCCCCCCCCCCCCCCATACGGAGAACAGATGGAGCACAGTTTCAGTGCCCGTGTCCACTTTCAAATTCCCCCAGACTCCAACCGCGGAGAGTCCAGACCTTCATCAGACTTCCAGGCGATCATATCTCAGCGTCGAAACTGATCTTCGCCACCCCAGCAACCTCAGGGATAAGGAGGTGACAGAATAAAAGTTGCCTCTATCTTACACAACACACACACACACACACACACACACACACACACACACTATCTTTACAGGGCGAAATGACAGGATACTGTGGTGGCCAAGTCCCGTAATGAGGCTGTAAGGGAACTAAATACTTGATAGTCACATGGGCTACAAATCCATCGAAGGCGGGACCAGTCCGATTTTCTTTTCCCCTTTCGTTTCGGTCTTCTTTTCTTCGGCTTGCTTCTGCCGTCCTTCCATCGGGTCTAGCACAGAGACCTCCCTCGTTCCTATGAATATTTCCAATCAGATATTTCCGTCCAACTTTCGATTTCAATACCTAGCCGGATCGACCGGCTCAAGTTGCTTGATTTGGGATTGTGTTCAAGCGTCACAAGAGGAACCGGTGTCGAATTCATTGAATCACTACAAAGCGGTCAGGCTAGAATCGCTTGGGCTGCCATTCATTCTTGGGGTGGCTTTCTTTTCCGACGCCGCCTCTTTAAGGCAGAAAAGCAGATAACAAGAACAGGAGCCACAATTGGACTAGTTAGTCCAAGCTGGGGGGACTACTCCGTACCTAAGCTGCAGTGGCTCTTCTCAACCCAACAACGACTCAGACAGTCATCGCCCGTTGGAGGTCCCCGGGAGGGCATGACCAGGGAGGAACCTCGTACTAACCACTAAGTTAAGTTTCCAACACTACTCCGTAGTCGCCCCTCCCATGAACGATTCGCATTTGTTGTTATCGACTGAAAGAGCACTCGATCCTGCCTCCTCTCGTTAATCTCGGCCACTCGCCCGCCTGGGCTCCTGCGATGAACTTGCACCAGTCACATTCGAAATAGCGCCTGTCCATGGATGTTCCCTTCAGTTCAGTGCTTTCGTCCAGGAATCTCCCTCTTTGTCCCTCTCCGTGACTTCTATACTCTCGGTCTACGATCCCCCTGCGCATCATCTGCGGGTACGATCGATCGCCATAGAGCTTTCAGAATAAACCATCAGGTGCCCAATGTGTCGTGACGCCGGATGACCACTTGCTCGCAATGAGCCATATTTCTTCTCAGAAGAACGGCGGTAATAATGTTCCCCCTCCGCGACAAATTCGCTTTGTGTCGACAGACGGTCAACCTCAGACAAAGCGGCGGCGTGTCAACGCGGCGTAAGTTCTACTGCAAACTGCTTAGTTCTATCCTCTCTTACTGGCTGGAAATTATTCACTGACGGGTGGCTGGGATACCCTTTAGGTGCTTAACATGTCGCAAGCGCAAGATACGATGCTCGGGTGAACAACCAGGTGAGAAGGAGCCAAGATCCTTGGGGCTGTAACCCACCACTAACAGGTCGCATTTGGGTATGTAAGTGTGCAAGACTTGCTCCGACTACAATCATGTATGCCAAGGGTACAGCGAGCCAACAACACATGCCCGATCACAATCTGATTCCAGTGCTCGAGCCGCGACAGTCGCACCTTTATCGATCTCTAGCGAGAATACTTCGCGCGTGGCTCTGAAAGTCGAAACTCGTTCCCCAGATCCTCCCGGTCGAGCTACCGTGCCTCCTGTCGAACGCAATGACAGGCCTGTAGCGGAACCCATACCGTCGGAAGTGAAAGAGGCCTCATCTGTCAGAGACATATCTTCCCAAACAACGAAAGAGCCTGAGCAGCAGACCTTAGCAGAAAGTCCAGAGAGCAGTATGTGATAGATAGTTCCAACCGTGATTCATAAATGGTGATTGCTCGGTGCTTACCATGTCTCATCTGTCTAGGTCGCACTTCTCTAAGTTCAAGCGCTCGCACACATGTCCCTTATTTCAGGTATTTTGGGCCAACCGCTATAGTTCCCGGCTTCAAGCAGATGGTTTGAATCCCACCAATAAAGGGCGTTGGAATGGTCGCGATACTGATTTTTGTGCTTGCAGGTTGTCCAAGTCAGAGGTTCTCGCAAGAGCAATGCCTCGTTATCATCAGGTCTGCATAATTTCGCTTGCCATACGCTTTCGTGTGCCACAAGATACTGGCCGCTCACGTACTAATACTGCACATACAGAGTCCCTATCACCATTACGAAGTCCCAGATTTCCCAATCATGGCATCAACAATGTGAGCGGTATGCCTGATACCCGCGACAGCCGTGACTACAACACTATTCCGTTCTATGATCGCGATGATACCCTTCCTGTTAGCAATCTCGTGATGCATCTTTGCGATCTGTTTTTCGTGCATCTAGGGTGCAGCTTTCCTTTTCTACAACGAGACAGGTTTCTACGCGACCTGAAAGACAAGAAGGTCGATACAATGCTGGTGGACGCGATCTGTGCGTTATCTGCTCGTTTTTCTCTCCATCCGCTCCTGAGTCCGCCTCAGGCACCTTCGATAGATGGATCCGAACCAGCAGTGGATATGAAGAAATCAAACCGCGGTCGGCCATTCGCTCATAGAGCGATGAGTGCTCTGGTCGATTCACTCTCTTGTCCTACTATCTCCGTTGTGCAAGCATGCCTCTTACTAGCTTACGAGGAATTCGGATCGAATCATGATAGCGGTCTCTGGATGTACTTGGGAATATCCATCAGGATGGCGCAGGATCTTGGGATGCAGAAAGTCCAGGGTCTGGAATACAATTATGGTCAGAGTGGGGTAACTCCAAATGCTGTGCTGACTGGACAAGCTGGAAAGTTGAGAGACGATCAGTATGATGAACCGCAACCTTCCCCAACACTAAGGGGCCAGCCGCGCGACGCGGAAGGTCGACGTGCTTCGGAACGTGAACGAGTGGATTCTTTTTGGAGCATTTTCTTTCTCGATCGAGTGATCTCATCTGGTACCGGAAGGCCTGTTACCTTGCGTGATGAAGAGATTGAACTCTGTTTCCCTCTTCAATCCGAATCCAGGCTGCCGAATGGTTGGCCTGCACCATTCCCTCCACTTATCCGCATCATTCACTTGTACGGCAGAGTGACAGACCTCATCAATGGGATTCAGGATGTCAAGCATGTAACATCGGACACACTGAAGGTGCTGGCCGGCATGGAAAGCGACCTGACAGGTAATGATACCTCAGACTCGAGTTTTCACCACGCAACAGCTAATCATGGTTATGAACCAGGAATATACCAACGCCTATCACCCAGGCTCCACTTCAACGCCGCAAACTTTCAAGCATATGTCAAGGCGAAAGAAGGAACAAATTTCATACTTTTACATTTCGTATGCTTGGCCTCCTTTCCCATGAGAACTCCTATTGACACAGACCAGTGGTTTCATACCCTGATAGTCTTGCTGCATCAGCCGACGCTCCTTCATTCATTTGGAGGGACAATTCAGCATCTATATCCGAACAGCCGGGAATTGTCGATGTCCTCAGCCAAAACCATTGCTGACATCCTCTCTTTTTCAGAGCTTGTTGACGGAAAGAGTTTTATTGGCAATCCTTTCACGAGCCAGCCGATGTACATTGCTGCATGCGCTTTTCTGATGGAAAGTGCTTATTACTCCTCGCCATCATCGAGGTCGTGTTCGCCTCCCATCCAACCGCTTCTGACAAACCAATCCAGTGGATTTGTGATGCCCAGCATGGATCCGGCCACCGGCTCTGAACGAAAACCTACCGCTAAGCACATTCTTCTCGCATCCGCTGCGAAAGAGAATTACCAAAGATGTTACAAAGCATTGAAGGCGCTTGAGACCTATTGGGAAGGTACAAGGTACATTCTAACGGTCTTAGACCAAAAGGCCAAAGGGATCGTGGACCCACTTTTGTATACTGTGGAAGAGATGGAAAGTACTGCTGGGCTATCTTCTGTCCAGCCACTCGCGGCACAACCGTGGCGACGGACGCAATCGTCTGATGATACGGTGGGTGCTGACCCATCAGCCCCTGGCTCAGATACACCAGCAGAAGGAAGGCGGTCGCCCAAAATAGATCCGAGTCAAGGTAGGGTTCATCACTTGCTTCTCCCTACCTCAGTGTGAGCTGACTGTCTTCGAGCTATTGGATGGGCTCTTACTGGTGCGACAAACTCTTCGCAGCCGAATCTAAGCCTTCTTTATCAGATGCCTGCACAGACAGAACCTATCCCGGAAAAGCCGACATATTCATCTCAATATAGCCATAGCTACCCCCATATACCTGTTCAACCTGATGGTGGTGAGACTTCGTACTCTTACTCACAGGCCACAGAGTCATCCCGGAGCACAAAAGCGACTCCGGGGCCATCAATGGCCTCTACAACTGCGCAATATTCACACCTGGCATCCTCCGGCAGAGTTACCACTTCTGATGCTAACCTTCTCCTTGGTTTGAATACGACTTATCCCGGTTCGACCTCCCGTCTACCTAATTCACGGTCGGCTTTCAATCATCAAATGCCTTCTGCTGCATGTGGGCTTGAGGGTCACGCCCAAGTCTATAATTATAACATCCCTTCTACTGTGAGTGACGCTCATACAGGGAGCGGGCACCTAATTGCGCACAGCGCTGGACTGCATCCTGATGCCGAACCTCATGCTGGAAATGTGTTTATCGAGAGCCAAGACGTTGATATGGCTATGCTCCAGCAAAATGATCAGCTTCCCTTCGCGTTCAGCGGTGAAATACTTCCATGGCTTGAATATCTTCCACAGGACGTTCTCAATTACTTTGGCGATAATCAGAATTATCCGGGCATGCTGAGTCCGGATGACGAAACCCCTCGACCACATTAGCTTGTTATCGTACCATACGATCCCTACGATGTCTATACCCGTTTATACACGGTCTGGCCTGTTTCTACCCACTTCAGAGATCAAGATTCGAGACCGTTATAAATACCACAACAAGAAAGATTGCTATGGAGCAGGTATAGGGTTCGAATAGGCGCTTAGACTTCTCCTTGTATGGTCTATATATCTTCAGCGACAAGCATTGAATACCAGCATATGACCTGTTTGATCTAGAGATTTCTCAGTATTGGGCTTATTTGTAAATCATGCTTTGGTCAATTTTGATGCCTGATTGGGGCCATTTAATGTTTATCGATTCAGCGGACTGGAGTTTGTTTTATGTTATTCTTCAAGTTTCTTATTTCTTTAGTCTTCTCCTTTTATTCTTCTTTTCCCCCTCTCTCATGTGGGTGCTTGTTCAAGTGACATATACCAGTACATTCGCTACCATGATCTCTTTCTGCCTTTTCCCTGCAACTGATTTGATATATCCATTTCAGTCTGTCTTCGTCATACGCGAGTCTCAAAGTAGGCTATTGTACCGAGATAGAGTACAGCGTTGCCCAAGTGTGCTGGAAGCTTACTACGTCAAAGGAAAGGGCAAATTTTGACATTGAATTATTCTCTGACTAACGCTGAAACAGTGTTTAAACAACACGAAGAGCATAGTGAGCAGAAACCATACTGACAACATCGAGAACTTAATATTGACACCGCTTTGTGCCATTTCCCAAATCGAATCTTACGGACTGCCACCGACCAGAGACATGAGAGTGATCCATCATGACCTATCTGAGACACCTTGTGTCATTCTTGCCTAGTCGACAAGGATTAGGAAGCTGGCCTGCTCAGGGTGCTGAGTATTCATTTGCCTAATTTTGCTTTTCATCCCCTCCTTTCTGCATTTCCTGGAGACATCTTATCCCATCTCGCATCGTGGGCTTTAATCACACCTAAGTCTGTCAACTTGGCTAGTCCGGGCATGCCGCTTATTTGAGTGGTGCTTCAAGAAAAGATGACGGCAAATATCCCTTCATCCATCATGAACACATTGTCACCTAGTCAGCAAGAACCTCCCAAAGTCGTCATAACGCGGTCTATACTTGCCGCGCTTCAACGTTGCGCGATACACCTCCTTCCCATTGCCGTGTCATCTACAGTTATTGGACTGAACATCAAGGGCACATATCTAGGAGCGGACATGATGTCTCCATTCCCATCCGAGACTATAAACCTGGCACTCTTCCAGTTGGCTGCCAAAGCTCATGAGATAATGATCGTTGCAAGCTTGAGTGTAACTGTTCTACACTGTGTCCGCCATGAATTGCTCTTCGGCCGTGGCCTTCCCTTGGGTCTCTTGGGATCAGAGCTTGCGTTCAACAACTTCGGATATTTTTTCTCCAGAGAATTCTGTGGTGGTATGTGGCTACTCACGGCGAGAGATCACGCAAGGCTGCACTGATAAGTCTTGTGGTCGTGGCAGGCCTGCTAGCTACTCTTGCTGGGCCAGCGAGTGCTGTTCTCCTTGTTCCAAAATCACAACCCTGGAGCGCCGGAGATTGAGTTCTTCTTGAACGGATCAGAGAGCGATTATTGACCTGCTGACTTGTCGAAAGAGATCCCAGACCTCGAACAACTCTGCAGTGAGCTAAACTCGACTCTTCTGGGATTCTGCCTGGCGGGTGGATTTCTCTCGTTGTGGACTCACTGGGGGACGATGAACAGCACCACTTTCCAAACCCAGAATGTCCGCTCCTATGCAAAGGAACTTTCCGGGTCCCGGTTTTACTGGCCAGTCTCCAGCCCCTTGTCTCTAATCCCACCTCTATATTCACTGGGGGACATTCAGCAAGAGCCAAATAGAAGAACATCGCTGATACAGCCGCATGCAGCAACCGTGGTGATGCTACAGCGGCTTGCGGAAAATTGGTGGCGGGCCTTCAGTGTACAGAAAGGTCTTTCGCAGAGTCAAATTGATGATCGTACTGCTTCGGCTACCTTCAAACATACTATCACTGTCGCCCGTTGTGCAACGCCACAAAAGCTACGAGCCTCAGACACCACAGTGAATTTTCCTTCAATACATGGTCGGTTTGACTTTGCCGATAGCCTACCACTCGACGTGGATAGTCTTAATTCCACTCCCAATGGCCACCTGCAATTTCAATGGGTTCATATTCCGCCCAGATTTGGTGCTGCTAGCATTGGGGGACTATTCCAGACCCCTCGGAAAGCCACTAAGGGGGGTAGCGTCTCTAGAATAGCAATCGGTTGTACAGTACAGGCTGGGTGGGTTCCTGTAACGGTCTTCACTGACAAGTACACTTTCTGGACCGGCTGGTATCCGTGGAATATCCAGTATGACGATCGTTCTCCCGCATGGAATCCGACTTCTTACAGCGCAACCAATGGCCGAGTTGCATTCGGTGATGAGTGGCTCAAGTTATTGACTCCTCCAAACCATCGAAAGCATCTTTTCAAATGCAGGCTTGGCAACTGATGCAAAGGCCGATGAGATAACTCTCGATGGTTGGCTTGTCAACGATATTTCAAGCTGGCAGAGGGTCTCTCTAGTGGAGGCCATTGTCTGCAGTGTCATTCTAGATGGCATCAGCCGAACGGGAAGCCATCAAGTGTTCATCGAAGACAGAGTGGCGATTCAACCTTCGACTACCACCGCCTCCACCCCCAGCGAATCAGTGACGATCACAGCAGAATTCAAGATAAGCGGCTTTTCACTTCAGGGCTCTCTTGCTGGTACTCTCTCCATGTCAGTCCTCATTGCTCACATGGCGATTGCTATTGGCCACATCATCTACCTCATCCTTAAAAGACACACGCCGGGTAGCTGTAGTTCAGTCGGTGAGCTCATTGCTCTGGCGCAAAATTCACCGCCAGCGTCTGAAGCTCTAACAAATACTGGAGGAGGAATAAAGAGCTCGAAGACCTACGCTCACCTAGCAAGGATTCGTGTGGCGAAGGCTTCTGACTCCTGTGGACAGGACCGCATTGAACTAGTCTTCGAAGCGCACACGCCCTCTGCTGAACTCCGCGGCGATTCTTCTGGGGCTGAATTAGTTGACCTGCATACCAGCTTGCTCAATCACTCGTCCACACGGCAAAGTCAGCATCATACAAGCAGGAACACCTCACCATCTACACAGGATAGTATTTGGGGTTTATCACATTCTACTGAGTGGTTGGTCTTTGACATTCGTCGCGTGGCGAAGGTGACAACAGCTCGCGTGCAACCTGAGCGCTCGTACGCTTGAAATACATCCTTTGAGTGTGTGCTATGGCTGTACCTGTAGGTACTAGGTAAATTGTAGAAGACATTGGCTGCATCTGTTGGACTCTTGGCATGGGGACTCCACAGAGTCCACACTCCACTCAGGAGGCCCGGCGCGTCCTGTCAAAAAGACCCTGTATGTCTGATTTCAACTTGAGTATCCGAAATTTCCGAATGAAACGTGTAACTACAGGAAGGGACAAGACGTTGGGCGGTAACTGTTGTAATGTATTTACGAACAGTCCAATCTTACAGTTTAGCTCGAAATTGACAATACGCACTAGCCATGTCGCTTTGTGCACGGACCCACTCTTATTGTCCCTACACTGGCCCTCTCTACTTCATCCCTTCCATCATCAAACTATTCGTTCTCTATGGGCAGCACGAATGGCTAACACACCGCTGTATCATCACTCGGCCGACTCTCTTTCTCCGCGGCTAGCATCATAGGCTGCATTTATCTCATCTTATGTCTCGTCTTCCTTGGCTACTACCATAGCTCGAGCTATCGCGATCCCACGTCTTTGTTCTTCGACCCCCGCCGTGCCTATCAGAAACGATATTCGTCCAAACGAATTGCCCAAGCAGAGGCATTTCTTGCCTCCGCCAGCAGCTTAGCGTCTCCGACGAGAGAACACCAGGGGCCCCCAGCGGTGTGCGTGGGAATAGTAACGGTTCGTCGAAGGGGTGATCAATATGTTGGCTTGACAGTGGCGTCTCTCCTGGATGGACTCACTGAGACTGAAAGAAACATGATGCGTTTATACCTTCGTGTTGGCAACACTGACCCGAAAGAGCACCCCATCTTCTCCGAGAAGTGGGTGGAAACGCTACCCGATCGTCTGTTAACGTATTCGCAAGATGACCCCGACTTCGGACAGCTACGGGCGTGGGAGGAAGGTGGCTGGTACCGGAACAAGACCATCTACGACTTCACAACCTTGATGAAGGACTGCTATGAGACCGGTGCCGACTATGTCGTGATGATAGAAGATGATACCCTGGCAGTGAATGGCTGGTTTCCATCTGCCTTGCAAGCTCTGGACACAGTGCATGAGAAGGCTGCACGTCAAGGTCAAGAGTGGATTTATCTCCGCCTGTTCTACGTCGATGGCCTCCTAGGCTGGAACTCGGAAGAATGGCCGCAATACCTGGCGTGGTTTTTCATTCTCTGGGCGTTACTTACAGGGACAATGGTTGTCTTCAAGACACGAGTGTTCACAACGCAGCTCCGTCGATTCCCGACCAGTGCCATCTGGCTTGCATCCTCCCTGCTTATACCCGGTGCGATTCTTCTTTTCTTCGTTTCCGGCCGGCAAACAATGTGGCCCATTGCCCCTGAAGTCCATGAAATGAACAAATACAGATGTTGTTCGCAGGGTCTTGTTTTCCCCCGAGCGATGGTACCCCGCTTCCTTGAGCAGACTGACTTGACGACTGACTGGTTGGTTGATATGATGGTTGAAACGATTGCGGACAGCCAGGGATGGACGCGCTGGGCCGTGGTTCCGCCGTTACTACAGCATATCGGCGTGACGAGTTCCAAAGGATATGGGTTTGACAGCTCCGCCAAGACGATATGGAATTTCAGGTTTGAAGAATATGGTCAATAGCGAGTCTTTAGGTTTGAACAGAGATCTTGTTATTCCAATCGACTTTTATCCACCAGTAATACTATTCGGGCAGTCAGCGCAAGTCAACTCAGCGTAAAGCATCTCCCATATTAACCAGTTGACAAGGCACAATATTGAATGTGATAAGATGCCACGTAAAGTAGCTGGACATATATGACGCTAGAGAATACACGAGTCGATTTGTATTGATAATACTGATGAGTGAGCCGCAGCTTGAGACTATCTCAGGCCCATGTACGGAGTATGCAAACGGCGATTTGCTGAGGATGTTTTTCCGTTGGAAATACCCAATAGAGGGTAAGAGGATCGGTACCTACGCCTTAATCTGATTGATTGGTTGATTGATAAGATCGGAATCCCTATCACATTGGAAGTTACTTATGTCGCTCTGGGTACGTATCCAGATTGCTTGATAAGATTACTAGTCTCCGATGTCAGTAAACAGCCATCCCTTGGTTTGCCATCGAGGTTGCTGCGGGGGCAACCAGGGGGTTGAGAGGTTCGGTTCAAAACCTTGGGCTCAGGAGAAGTAGAGTTTCATTTTATGGGTCATACTTGAGAATAATATTTGTTCAAGCCTGGTAGTGAACTCAGTACATAGATATATAACATTATTGCGGGGCGGCATTTTCTACAGGAGAGTTGGGATAGAGGAGAGAGACAAAAGGGTTGAAGTCATTGAAGTACGGAGTTATTATTGATAATGGTAGTGGAACAGTCAGAAGCAGCAAACCTGATGACAGAGGTCTAGTGGTCTATAACTAACTAACCTAAACCGCCTAAGTTACTAGTAAGTTAGTTAGTCTATCTAGTAACTCGATCTAGTTAGTGGTTGCCCTGCACAACCAGGCGGTCAAGCGTCAACTAACAACACACCGACTGATGAGGATCAACATCATGCAGGCGACTCTTTTGAAATAACAATCGCAATCATGTATCCTTGACTTCTCACATTAGAGGCATCTTCTGTGATAGATCTGGATTTGAAGTGACGGAATACCTAGGCTGTGGCTGCTTCACGAATCCACAATCCCCGGAATCTTTGAACTATAACTATTGGGCAAACGGTGCTGAATCTTACTGGTGCTCCGATAACAAGTGGGATACCATTTCTCTTATCCTTTCACATTCCAGTTCCTGCATTTGCTTTTCTTTTTCTGTTTTTCTTTTTGGACTTCTGACCCGCCAAGGTCACCAATGGAGAACCATCCTAATGGCAGTCAATTTACTGACTACGCAGACCTCCCAGACGAGGAATCACTACGCCTCTCTTCAGCTCCGTACGATATCGCGCACTCCCCGGGTTCCACCTCCCCAGCAAATCAAGCCATTTCGCAAGAGTTCGACCATCATGACGTTGGCAGTTTTCTCATGGGAGACGTACAGATGCTGATTCGTGACGGATATCAATCTGACGGATCGTCGACACGCCACTCCAGTGAGAATCTCGGCGCATACCTTGATGAGGACCATGCTTGTATGAGCTCAGGAGAATCCAGTCGCTCTTCGATATCGTCGATACCTCCATCGGTGTTCGCAAACATGGCAGAGGGGGTGAAAGCACCTGGGCACAGACATTCTCATCCGTGGGACAGTCACGATGGCATTCATGCGCATGGAAGGATAGATGCGACCTTACGGCCGCTCTCTGCAACCCGGCTGAGGGAAGCTGCGTTCAGGAAGCCAAGCTCGGTCAAGGCAATGCAAATGCATACCGAGGATGAGCGGGACGATGATGCCTTCTTGACCCCGCCCAAGCGTCGGGCGGCCCACCAGCGCTACTCGGACGCCTCTATGCGCTCGGTGGGCTCGTCGCCATTGCGGAAATCTCAGTTCTACTCACCTACAGGGTCGGCGGCCAGCAAGCAGAAAGCCAAGGACGAGTACCCGCTTGTCCTGTTGCACTGTAACTTGCTACCACCATCGCTTCCAGTCCCAGGCGCAGCGGCCTTTCACAACCAGAAGATCGTCAGAGAGGTGCTTCCCCCGGTCTTCTGGCGTCGATGGAAGCTGTTAGAGGAGAAGGTGGGCTCCGGTGTGCTCCGTGAGCGTGGCGTCCTGATCTCGCATCCGGAGGATCTGTATGACTTGCTTGAGGAGCGGCTGTTGGAGAGCCTGGAGCTGCAGCGTCCGCGCTTCGACCATGGTCACTTTATCGGACATGACGAAGCTGAGTCAGAAAAGGAAGACCGTTTGGAGAAGGAGGACAGCGCGACAGACGAAGAGGAAGGGGAGGCATGCCCCGACTGTGGCGGTCATGTGGTCCGGCATGGCAATGCCGGGCGGAAATGGGAGATCAAGGTGTTTGCAGCCAATGGACTGATGCGAGCTGGAGCTTGGGCTGCTGCTTGGAAGGAAATGGAGAAGGTGGACGTTGAGGTCGGCTTGTGGCTGCCATCAGAGATCCGCAGGGAGCTGGAAAAGAGGCTCATGGGGGATGATTATTATTGCTGCCAACTGGATCCCCAACTGCAGGTGCCGCAGCTGCAGGTGCCCGGCAACGATCCGGTCATTCCCACACACCCGAAGGCCCGGCATGCGCGGACCTCAAGTTCAATCACAGCTGATCAGAGGTCTTTCTCATTCGACGGAACCGAAACACAGTCGCCTCCGGCTATCAACAATCCTGCATCAGTCGAAAGCCGACCGCCGAAGCCGTCTTTTTCTCCGCAGTTGAATGATGATATCGACATACAAACACTGTTGGTCAATTACGTCCGCGTGTTGGCTAGCGACCGGCGCAATGTGGCCATTGCCATTCTGAGCATCCTGATGGTATTTTTCGCCATCCAGTCGGGCTCCCAAGTGAAACCTTCGGCTCTCCGTCCATTCCCTCATGATTTCATGGAGCATGAACCTCTGCACCCGCCTGTCACTTCAGTCAGTCAAGCTGATAGCACCATTCGCAACGTTCCTATTGCCTGCGTGAGTCAAGCCGCCGAGAGCGCAAACAGCGAGATCATCGTTGAGACAGCGCCTCTGTCAGTTAGTAGCATTCCAGATCCAGCGAGCATGAGCGTTCTCCCTCCCGCTATATCTGAGACTGTCGCTGAGCCGGTGCTCGTGTCTGCACGCGATATATCAGAGCCAGTGGGCGAGAGCGTTCAATCCACTGTTTCATCAGAGGCCGTTGCTAAAATAACTCCCACGCGTGTGGGTGACATCTCAGAATCTGTGAGCATGAGCTCCCAAGCTGTTGCCTTGTCTGAAGCAATCACCCAGGTTGCAATGTCCGAACCTGACAGATCACATCATGAGTCGGATGCAAGCTCGCGGGCGAAAAGTCTTCTCACTCACTCCCAGGCTCAACAGCAATTGCCCGAGTCTCTCTACCCAGTCGTGGAGCCATCGACAAGACGGATTGCCTTGATAAAAGAGATGACACCAGCCCCGGATAGTCTGAGCCCGATCACGGAGCAATTGATGGGCAAACAAATGATATGATGATGATTACGATGATGGTAAATGTAGAAATGCGATCCATGACCGAGATGAGATTGATTGATGTATGGATTTGTGCGGTAAGGCACTCTGGCTCATCATTCCTGTGGTTGTTGCAAGCTTTTCCTGTTTTCCACTTGCTTCTTTTCGACTCTTCCAAGATTTTTTTCTAAGCCCATGTAGTTACTGTATCTAGTGTTTGCCGTATTCCTTGGCCAAGTCAAATAGTGAACTAGCCTACTCTTTAAGTGTGATCAATCCAATTACCTAGACAATAATTGCCAGGCTGCTAGGCATGCGGTGTGATAAGTGGGATTGGCTTGACTCGTTCTAGTGAGAATCCATAGAGAGTAGGATTCAATAAAGGTATTTCATTTCGGCTTCCCGCCTGCCGATCATCTTCCAGTTCTTTACTCTTTTGCCCTCGGGTTAACCCCAACACCTCCAAAGGGAGGCTCTTGTCAAGATAACTGCTGCACGCCTTGCAGCGCTTTCCTGAATGGATCTTTGCGGATCTCGCATCTCATCATGGCCAACCAGCAGGCCCTTCTACTTCTACGTTCAGTTCTACTTCCTTGAGTTAGACCCCTCTAGTCCCTCTCCGCATATGGCAGGTCATCATGAACTCACGCTGAGGCATTGAAGGATCCCTTACTTGCCTTGGCTTGGACTTGACATCTAGTCCAAGATACACAGTGGGCGGGCGGGCGAGCGGACGCTGTGAATCGCTATCATGGCATCTATAAAGCTGGAATGTCGTGTTGCGCAGAATGCCACGAAGAGGAACGGCGAAGAAGCAATCGTTGCCTCCGGCTTGAGGTTATTCGCAGGGCGTTTACTCTCATACTTTTTATAATATCCCTTTCCCTTCTCCGATCGGACTCTTGTTGGTACTCCTTGTCTGCGCGGTGTCTTCGTGGTATCTTTCTTCTCTTGTTCTTCGCCATGAAGTTCTCTTCCAGCAAGCTGGCCTTGTTGTCAGTGATCCCTGGCTTGACCCAGTGGGCTTCTGCTCGCGTTGTTCAATTTCAGATCGATCTGACATATGAGGATCATGAGGTCGCTGGATTCGTGCGCAAAACTATTCTCAGTAATGGGCAGTTCCCTGGACCCCACCTGCAATTGAAGCAGGGTGACGACGTGGAGTTCCTGGTGAACAACTCGATGCCTATGGCGACGACTGTTCATTTCCATGGTTAGTACAGTCTCGTGCAATTGGAGGGTATCTATTCACTCATGAATGCTTTCCCAGGTATCGAGCAAAGAGGCACACCATGGTCGGACGGGGTCCCCGGATTGACCCAGGAACTTATCCAGCCTGGAGAACAATATCTGTACACCTGGACGGCCAATGACTATGGCACCTATATCTATCACTCTCACTCCAGAGCTCTGCTGGACGATGGGTTGTACGGCTCAATCTATATCGAACCGGCGGAGTCGGTGGAGAGACCGTTCGATTTGATCACCAATGATCCAGACGAATTGCAGGCAATGCTGGATGCGGAACAGAGCACGCAGCCAATCCTGCTCTCTGATTGGAAGCACTTTGACTCCACGGACATCCTACGGCTAGAGAAGGAATCGGGCGTGGAAAGTATCTGCACCAGTGCCGTTCTGGTCAACGGCAAAGGTTCCGTATTCTGTCCCCCGCAGGAGCATATCAATGCGATCACGACGGCTGCTCAGAAAGAGATTCTGGGGAATACGACTTTGACTGATATGGGGTACGGTTCTCGGTTTAGCGAAGCAGAGACTTATTTGCAGCGGCTAACTTAGACTAGATGCATTCCTGCCGAAGTTCTCTTTGGCCCGGCATATCCGATCGATACCAGCAAGCTGCCAGATGGCTATTATAAAGGCTGTACGGCCAGCAAGGGTCCTACCGAAGTTCTAAGCGTGGGCGCAGGCTATCAGAGCTATGACCTGATCAGTATGGGGGGTGTCACCTCCCTGGTGTTCTCTATTGACGAGCATCCCATGTATGTCTATGCGGTGGACGGCCGCTATGTTGAGCCCATGCTGGTCGACGCTGTCACCGTACCTATCGGGGCACGATACTCGGTTCTTGTCAAGTTGGACCAGCCTGCTGCTGACTATACTGTCCGTATCGCCAACAACTACGCGACCCAGGCCATCAATGGCACGGCTATCATGTCCTACGAGAAGCAGGGCTCAAATGCCTCCAGCGGCTCGAACCAGGTCTCTCAGCCTTCAATCACCGAAGTCGGAAGCAATGCCACGGCCAGTACAGTTTTCCTGAACGAGACCCAGGTGGTTCCTTTCCCCGTGGTAGCACCAGCTGTGGATGTTGACCACACCTATATCATTGACATCGTCCCATACAACGCCTCGTACACCTGGATGATGCACAATGCCAGTTACGCGTCATCGAATGAGGGGCTTTTCCCGGTTCTTTACAACCGCAGCTCGATCCCAGCGCAGTATACATTATCCACGCTGAACAACACCTGGGTAGACCTCATTATCAACATCACGACTGCTGGACAGCCAAATCATCCCATCCACAAGCATTCTAACAAGTATTTCGTCATCGGCTCGGGTCAAGAGACGTTTACATACTCGTCAGTGGCCGAGGCCATGCAGTATATCCCGCAGAACTTCAACCTGGACACACCTCAGATGCGAGACACTTTCTTCTCTCCGCCGGCGACGACGGGCCCTACCTGGTTAGCCCTGAGATACCAGGTGGTCAACCCAGGCCCATTCCTGATGCATTGCCATCTTCAGATGCATCAGAACGGAGGTATGGCCCTTGCATTGCTTGATGGAGTCGACGCATGGCCCAATACCACTGAGCATCGAATGCCGGTGAAGGCCACGCCGTGAGGCAAGGGTAACTTTCTTTGCTTCAGTGTATACATGATATTCATAGTATTGTATATTCCTTGTACTCATACTAATAATTGAACTTCTTTTCTTGCGTGCCGTTCCTTGTTTGGAGACTGATAGACTAGTCTATCGATGAGTGGGCTGGGAGAAGAACAGAAAAACAAACATGCCAAACCGTGGGTAAGTGGTTAGTCATTTGGGGGACTCCACCGCCCGGCCCAGGAAGTGCCGCGATAGGACGACTTCCTCCCTTCGTCATCTCCGATCTTTCTCTCGAGTCTCGAGTGACCGCCCGCCCGCTTTCCATCTGTATCCATCTCCATCTCCATCTTCCTTCTCTTCCCTCTCCTTCCTTTCTGACTTTTTCTTTCTTTCTTTCTTTCTTGCTTTCATCACACCTTTCTGCACCTCACTCTCAGTCAGTCCACCTATATATCTTCAAACAATCTCCAAAAATGGGCGGAAAGAAAGGCGGAGCCGGCGAGAACTCCAAGAAGGCGGCTGGCCAGGCTCGCGTATGTTTGCACTTCCCAAGTTATACACTAATTTTGTTACCCCGCCCCCTCCCTGCTTCTCGCCTGGAACAATGACACAACACCACCCCTTCCTCTCTCTATCTCCGGAAGAACTATACTTCTAGAGGACTATAACTGACCACACCCCCTATGAAACCAACAGAAAGCCGAAGCCGCCGCCGGCAAAAAGGCCGCCGAGGACGCCAAGCGCGCTGCCGAAGAAGACAAGCAATGGCAGAAGGGAGCGAAGGGCAGTGCTAAGAAGTGCGTTTTTCCTTCCCAGTCCTTCCCCTCGCTTTCATCACTCATCTGCATCCCCCTCCCCCCCCCCTGTTTCTTCCCCAACAACTCCATCTAATCGCGAAATATTTTCAATCCGCAGGGACGACGCCGAGGCCAAGAAAGCCGAGGCCGCCCGCAAGAAGGCCGAACGCGACGCTCTCCTAGCCGCCGAAGAAGCGTCGCAGCCCTCGAAACCCAAGGGCAGCGGCGCCAAGCAGGCCGTGAAGAAGACCCGGGGTCTGGACCTGTCGCAGCTGGATGAGCCGGCCGGCGGCAGCAGGGCCTCGGCGCTGAATGCGTCGGGTATCGACAACGCGCTGGACGCCCTCTCCCTGACGGGCAAGGACGCCGGCAAGGTGGACCGCCACCCGGAGCGGCGGTACAAGGCGGCCTACGCGGCGTACGAGGCCCGCCGGCTGCCCGAGATCGAGGCGGAAAACCCCGGCCTGCGCCGGCAGCAGCGCGTCGAGCTGTGTCGGAAGGAGTTCGAGAAGAGCGAGGAGAACCCCTTCAACCAGGTGCATGTGGCGTTCGATGCTAGTCGCGAGGAGATCGCGGCCGTGCGGGATGCGGAGCGGAAGAAGGTCGAGGCGCGGTTGGCCAAATAGAGGAGGAGGAGGAGGTTTCTTTTCTTTTTCTCATTTGTTGGCGGGGAGTTTTCTATTTTTCTATTTTGTCCTCGATGTCATCGCAGCTAGGTGCTATTAGTACGGCCTGCTACGTACTATGATGTGGTATATATACCCGGGTTTTTCCTCTTCATCGGAAAGCTCAAAATTGGAGTCGGATATAGGGCTGAGTGCCTCGGATCCATGATAGAGAGGTTTGGAACTGAATACGGTATACAAGATGAAATGACTGGGAAATGAAGTACAACGAACGAAAATCAAGCATAGAAAAGGTACATAATCAGAAGGTGACAAAAATGTTGGTATCATGCAGTCTAAGATCATATATCCATAATATAGAAGAAGAGTCAGTGAGAAAAAAGAGTTGGCTCAGGACAAACCGGAATCAACCACCCATCACAGCCCGTACGTCCCAAACATATAGACTCTCATCCCACCCGACACTGGCACACCAGCCCTCACTCCCGAACAGACACCAATCCACCCCTGTGACGAATTCCGTATGCTGGCCCATTCGCCCCAATTCCACTCCCATGTTGGGACCGCCGGGCCCGGCACGCATCACGTCGACATCCCCGACGACCCCGGCGGGGGACTGATCCGTCCAGGCGCGACAGGTCATATCATAGCTGGCGCTGAGCAGGACGTTGGACAGATGCGGCGACCAGGCGACTTTGCGGACGGCGTAGTCGTGGCCCAGCATGACGGTCTGCGGGCCCTGGTGCGGGGCCCGGATATCGAAGGTCCGGATGGTGCGATCCACCCCGGCGGTGGCCAGCGTCGAGGGCCGATACTTGTTCCAATCCATCGTGAGGGCCTCGGCGGGGGCGGAGCCACCGGCCATCAACGGCGGCGGTGCCCCCGGTTGCGGCGCCATGATGCTTGCTCCTGCCCCTGCCCCTGCCCCGCCACCGCCTGCATGGATCGGAATCTGTAAGGTGAGATGGTTGGAGGCGGAGGCCGGGGTGCGCAGGTCGTAGAGCCGTAGGTACGAGTCCGAGGTGACGCAGGCGAGCAGGTCGGGCGAGTGCGGCGAGAAGCTGGCGGCGTAGGTGCAGCTGTGGGTGGGGAGGGTGAGGAGCGAGTGCGGGCGGTGCGGCGACCAGACGCGCACCGTGCCGTCCCAGCTGCTGGAGCTGAAGCGGTCCTTGGCCACCAGGTTCCAGTGCACGCTGAACACCTCGCGGTTGTGCTCCTTCCAGTTCTGCACGGGGAAGTCGTTCAGGCTCGTGTCGAAAAGCTTGATGCTCCCGTCGCCGCTGGCGGCCAGGACTTGGTGCTCGTGGATCTCGGACCAGGCGAGGTCGTAGAGGGAGTCTTGGGTCGTGAAGCTTTTGTTTTATTTAGGTAGATTGTGTTAGTTTATGGGGGATGGTTTCCACGTGAGATGCTGAAGGGGAACGGAAAAAGGAAGAGGGGAAAAGGGAAGGTGGTGTGCGTACTGTTTGGCGGGGACAATGCCATGGGGAGTCAATTCGAGAATGAAGAGTCGTCCATTGCCCACTAGGCCATAGTTGGCGGAGGCGGCGACCGCCAGGCGGTTGTCAAAAAATGGAGAGTACTTGACTGCGCAGCCGTTGAAACCCTCGGTGCGGAAGTGAAGCATTGTTGTTGTTGTTGTTGTTGTTGTTTACTGTAGCGGTTTGTCGGATGGGGGACTAGATCCGGTGGTCTCGGTGCGGGGAGATGATGGGAGGAATCAAGGACAGGCGGTCATGGCGGGGAGGAGCGGAGATGAGGGGTGGGAAGGCGTAGAGGAGAATGGGGGATTCTCGGAGGAAGTAGAGAGAAGGAAGGAAGTTCGAGGTGGTGATAATCTTGTGGTGCGGGGAAAGATGAGGCCGAGTCCGAGTCCTCCAGCTTCTGTTGTAGTGAGTGCCGCTCACTGAGCCAAAAGCGGCGCGAGTCCAACTAGTGCGGGGGGGAAAAAAGAGCGATGGAGAAGAGCCGAGGTTCGGCAGTCCGACGACGATCTTGACCTGGTCGGGTTTATAACCTGCCACATGCACGCCACGCCTGTCGATTCGATTCTTTGGACCTGAACTATATCAACAAGTAACCAGGGTGTTCATCTTCATTTAGACACAATCATCAGAATATCAATCAGCGCTCCCTATGTTTCTAGAATAGGAAGGAAAAGGATGTCACAGTGACGCCATCAGGGCCAGATTTAAACTTTGAAGCCCAAAGGGTAAATCTTCACCATGGCCTTTCTCATGAATTCTCCTCCCCTCCACCGTCCCTGTTCTAAGCACACTCACTTAATCACACTTTCCTAAAACCACCACCACCACCACCATGCCCTCAGCCTGGACCGATGACAACAACAACGACCATCCCCCAAACCATGCATCATCCCCAACCCCAGCCGCCAACTTCCTCACGACAGAGATCTACAACATCGGCGCCCAGCCGGGCATCCGCTCGCTGCCCCCGAGCCCAGAACGCGACTTCCTGGCCCTAACCTGGGGCCCCGTCGTCTATCGCACGGCCTACAGCGCCCGCTCGGACCGACTCCTACCAGTGTTCCTGCGCGCCCTGTCCTACGAGGTCCAGGCGGCCATCCCGCGCCGGCTCCCCGGCACGCGCAAGCAGCGGCACCTCCTCGAGACGAGCTACGCCTGCAAGGTCTTCAGCGACGAGACGCGGTATGCGGGAGCGGAGATCGGCGCCGTCCGCCGCGCGTTCCACGACTGGAAGCGCGCGGACCTGGAGCTGCCGCTGATGGAGCTGCCGGCGCGGTTGCGGGTGTGTTTGGTGGTGGACGAGGAGGTGCTGCGGGCTTTGGAGAGAATGATGACGAAGGAGGAGGACGGGGTGGACACGGCCGAGGAGGCGAGGGGGGGTCCGACGCAAGACGGCAGCGAAAAGGGATCCGGGGAGATGTCTTACGGCCGATGTCCGGTCATCATGGTGGAGGAGAATTTCCCGGATCGGAGGAGGCGGGACTCCAACCCCGCGGACGGAGAGTACCCCGGCTGGACGCAGGTGGCGCTCTCAGCAGTCGTGGAGGTACTCGAGGGGATGAGGTTTGGAAATGGATTGAGTCGGTTTCATCGCTCTGGCCGAATTTATCTGGGAGAGAGTCAGTGGTCTTGATGGATTGATTCATGTCTCTTGGAGTTTGGGCTCTTTTGGCTCGTATAGATCGTTGGCGTTAGGAACCGGGTGTATAGGTATAGAGCTGGGATAGATAGAGTATTCTTATATAAAAGGTATTGAGAGTATCATGGTTATGACTGCGGAGCTTGATCAAGTCTAATTTCCATATACTGTGCAGCAACTTAAGTCAATCGACAAGTCTCTTCCAGTGTGGTTCTTATCGCGCAAGGAGCACGCCTGCTCATTGGCCATATTGAGAGCAGTCACGTGGTGATAGGACATCCATTTCCACCCATCGCTTCCAGTTTGTCATCGTTCAATCCCTTCGTGCTCGTCAATTATACAATTCCTTTTGATTTTGTGATAGTCGAAATACTTGGCTTTTTGAGAGGAGTGTACACCATGGAACGGTATCTTTCCAGAAAACGGGCCCGGAGTCCACCGGCGCCCACCTGCTCCGACGAAGACTCGACCGATATGAAGCTCGCGCGCCTGGCCTCACTCTTCCCAAACATGGCTCTAGATGCATTGATGGAGATTCTACTCTCCACTGGCGGCTGCGTCGAGACGGCAACCACCACAATCCAAGCTCAAGCCTCTCTGTACCCTCTCAAAAGGCGATCAACGGCCGGCGCCACACCCGCCGTTCAGACTTCCTTGAATGCCCACATGCGAATATCCCACCACCCGGGACAAAAGCGATCGCGGACCCGAAAAGGCAAGACGCTGCATCTATACTCCCCGGAAGACATCGCGGCGCACACGCCCTGCACCATCATCCACAACTTCCTGCCCGCGGAGCAAGCCAACGCGCTCCTCCTCGAGCTCCTCGACGAATCGCAGCACTTCTCGCGCTACCGATTCCAGCTCTTCGACCGCACCGTCCAGAGCCCCCACTCCGCCAGCATCTACGTCGCCACCCCCGAGCAACACCGCCAGCACACCTCCGAGTACACCTACGGCGGCACCTACCGGGCCACCGTCAGGCAGACCACCCCCCAACTGCGCGCGGTCTCCGGCAAGGTCCAGCAGGCGGTCAACGCGGAGATCCAGCACCGCATCCGCACCGTCTACCCGGGCGGCCGCAAGCTGAAGTATCAGTCCCCCAAGGTGTGGATGCCCAATGCGGCCTTTGTGAATTGCTACGACGGCCCCACGGAGGCGGTTGGATACCACTCGGATGAGCTGACCTATCTCGGCCCGCGGGCCGTGATCGGAAGCTTGAGTCTCGGCGTTGAGCGGGAGTTTCGTGTCCGAAGGATTGTTCCCACAAACGACCATGACGACGATGACGCTGAAGACCTGGGGGCGCCGGAAGATACTCCCGAAAGACGGATCTCGGCGCATACAGCGGAGAAGACTTCCACTTCGGCCAAAGTCCCGAAGGAACCGAATCCTTTGGAAGAACACAACAACTCTCGCAAAGCACCGATGACATCGTCATCACCAGCATCAGCATCAGCATCAGCATCATCCCGGGCAGACGCTCAGGGTCAAATCTCTATACACCTCCCGCACAACTCGCTGCTGGTCATGCACGCTGAGATGCAAGAGGAATGGAAGCACGCCATTGTCCCGGCACAAACCATCTCGCCGCATCCGCTGGCAGGGAATCGGCGCATCAATGTCACGTATCGGTGGTACCGCGACTCATTGCACCCGCGGTATACGCCCCGGTGCCGGTGTGGCGCCCATACGATTCTGCGGTGTGTGCAGCGCAGACGCGAGACCCGGGGCCGGTATATGTGGATGTGCTATGCGGGGTATGCCCCGGGCAAGAAAGGGTGTAGCTTTTTCCAGTGGGCGGATTTCGATGATGATGGGGAGCCACTCTGGGACAAGACGGCGGTGCATGATAATGCGCCGTGGTTGGAGAACTTCGTAGAAGGATAGGACCAGTTTGAGACTGGGGTGGGGGGGGGGGGGGCACGTAGGAAATGAGAAGGGGAATACCAGTATATGAGAATATCCGATTAACAGTGGAAGGGTCGCATTTTGTAGTACTGCCTCTCCATGGATATACTTCCACAATCTCATTCTGTATGCATAAGAGATTTAGTTACACTGGATCATCAAAGAGACTCTTCAATTGTGAGGCCGGGGAGAGAATAGTGAGCAAGGAGGTTCTTTTGCCAGCATCGACTCCGACTACGGCCACATTGACTGCCGTACTCCAGCAAATCTGGGCGTCAAAACAACTGCATCGCATCGTGTCAAGGGAGGCGAGTTGACAACCCACCGCCGAATCTTCGCGCTCCTCTGCTTCCTCTTACTTGATCACATACCGAAACTCCTTGAAGCCCACACATCCCAGACTAGATCGAGCATCAGGCACCATAATCCAACCTTGGAACTGATGACTTCTGGATATAAGCTTTGATTCCTTCGGCACAAGCTTATTTTCAAACTTTCTCAGCGAGGAGAAATCGAAACCAAAATCCTCAGCTCATGGTACTGGGCCGCCATCGCGCGAGTTCTGCGGCGCCCGAAAGAAGATGCGTACGGTCCCTTCTTTTCTTGCTCCCCCTCGCCCGCCCCCACCAGCTCTGAAGGACCGACGCTTGCTGCGGGAGCTGCAGTACTCGGAGCAGGCGACAGCTAAGGCGAAAATGCAACAGATTGTAACGATAGGGACGAGGATGAGGAGACAGACGATGATCGTTGTCTTATAGTTGGACGGGGAAAAAGTTCGCTTCTCACTGAAGGTGGTGAGCATTGTAAGTGTCAGGAAAGCTTATGTCGGTGGGATTTGCGGTGAATGGTTTGGATGTTGATGTGGGTTGAATCTTGAGAGGGGTTGGATGACAATTGCCACAAGGCTTGTAAGCTGTGATGAAAGTTGCATAGATAGGATATACAGGAGGCTGGTGATTGGGATGCTTGGTTCTGGTGTTCTGAAATTGAGGGTACTGAGAGGGTCCACGGTCCGGGGTAAGTTGCTAGCTGCTGTGCAACGAATGGGAAGGTGCGAACAGCGACTTCAAAACGGGAGCCATGATGAAATTCCCGAGGTCATGAACAATGAGGTATGGGAAGTAGGAATATCCCAGATCAACTGATTGATGGTAGTACAATGGGTATATTGAAGCACCTAGCTCGTAGGCTTTATTGATGCACCTCCTCCGTTCGTGGGTTGATTTTCTCCATCACCGATGCGAGCGTAGCCTTGTCCAAACGGGTGAATCGAATCTATGGCCAGTCCATGTCAGCAACAGTCCCTCGCTGAAAGGGGGAAAAGAACATGAAATAACATACCGTCTCATCCGCTCCTCCGCGCGTGGGCCCATACAGAGTTGAATCCGAAATACTAGCCTCAACCTCACTCTGCACCCGTCTCACCCAGATCCCATCCCAGTGCCAATCCCCAGGGGCCCTGGCTTGCGGGCTTCCAGCCTTCTTCACCACCCCCAATGAGGTAGCTGTAGCACTGTCGCTGCCCCTCTGGTGCGCCTTCCACGCATGCCACGCGCTCGGGTTCGCGGCCGCCTCCAATGGTAAGGAGTCCAGAACAGTCGCGTCGTCGAATGTCGAGCGGATATAGTCAAGAAGGACTGCTACGGGGACGGTTTGCCTCGTTTCCGAGAATCGTCGGTCTGCTGTCGGAGAAGTGGGGTCGATCTCTTCCGTCGTGGGCGAGGTGGGGGTTGTTTGGTCTTGGTCGGGTATAGGTTCTTCGCCGGCCGGCGTATCAGGTCTCCTTCCTCCGTTTGTATTAGTGCTGATGGTCGAGTTGCGCACGCTCACGGCTTTGATGGATGGAGCTGTTGACGGGTTGCATCCGCCTCGTTTGGCCCGACCGAACCAGTGCGGGAACCCGTGCCGTAAACTAAATCCGCCAGGGGGTAAGCGCTCATCGTCGGTGGCGCTGACGGGATCTTCATTCGAGGCACCTGTGCTGAAGGTGTAAGTGGTGAGGGGCACGACCAGGGGGTGAAAGACGTCGGTCGCGAAGTTGACCATGGGCGGCATGTCGGGATAGAAGTCAGGGAAGCGGATCTGGAAACGGAGGACAGCGGAGGCATATGGACCTTTAACAGACGAGTGATAAGCATGTGCATTGACTACTATGAAACTTCACTTGGCCTGCCGAACGTGTGGAGATCTCTTACCAGCGCGAACAAAGATGACACCAGACCAGAGCGTTGGGTCACCGGGACTGAGGCTCACGTAGGTGCCCGGCGGGGCTGCATGTTGCAAACTTGCACTGGTGCAATTAGCCGGAGATTGGACAACACTTGATTATGGACTGACTGACAATTCCAAAAGAAGCTGCTGTTTCCGAAGGGATGGAATGCTGGGTAAACGGGTTGTCGACATGATGTTTATGGTTGAGGCGGAAGTCCACTGATCTAGTCTGGCTTTCCATTCTTTAGGGGCGGGCGGGCTCGATTGACAACTGGAAGTTGTTGGATCTCGCCTTATCCCCGTTATCTCCACCCCCGCCTGCAGTGCCTCAAGGCAGATAAGGATATAGCGAGGTATGTACTAAGTACAATCTTGGTTCATTTTCAAATAGTCGACTAGTCTATCTCTATACTTGCATGAAATTCAACGCTTGTGGTGAGTGCTCCAATAACGCAAATAGGAAAGTGCACCGCAATCACAGACATCCTGCCTACAAAGCTCAGGTCATAAAAATGTCATTTCACAGCCCCCTTCTGAGTGCTTGAATTGAGGCCCTCTCGAGTTTTGCGTGGGGTTGCATCAGCCCCAGAACCGTCATACCCTCTCCCACGCCCTCATAGATACCACCCGCGATACCTTCCACCCACCAGTCTGTAATATTGATCACAGTCGAGCGCACCCTCCCTTCGTAAAGACCCAGGATGGTAGACCCAAAGCTCATGCTTCGTTTGCCCCAGCTATCTACCGTGTCCAGCGTCGTTGAAATGACACGTTCGGTGACCCGATGAGAGCGCTCGTACTGATAGACCCGCGCAAGGAGTAGCTTCAGGTACGGGACGACGTATCGCACAAGGACAAAGATTTGAATAATAACGAACGCCAGCAAGCGATGCAGGATTGACCTTCCAGACTTATTAGACCGATGATATGTGTCTGGTTCTGCGTCAGAACTTATAAGCCCTGTTGCCGGCTGGCTTGCATCGCCCGGTACCAATGTGGATGACTGGAGACTTGATGGAAGGTTATGTCGGATGGTTGCGATCTCGTCGTGAGTCAGTTCTGCGGGTAGAGCATCTAATAGATATCCCAGGGCAGTAATGTACAACGAGCGGGCCAGGGGACCGTCGCATCGGGGCAGTTGCGCTTCATATCCAGCGTTTCGGAGAAGGCTCAGCGCTAATGGTAAAAAGTGAGTCAGTCCTGACGCAACAGAATTTCCAGATCATCTTGCACCGAGAACTCCGCGTTCTGTAGTCGGAGGATCAGGGCATAATCCGGACCAATTCAGATCTATTAAGAGGGGATAGGTGTTGCTATTACAAACCAGGTATTACTCTATTCCATCGCAATCCAGACTCGGCTTCGTACTTCGATGATGATGGTACGCCGAATGTATCACCATATCTACCGTCTTCAAAGGCAGTGATCTCACTCATGTCTGGAGCCTTTCCCGATACAGACGACACGCAAGAGTCTCGCTCATTGCTCAAACTATCCGCTGTCGCAGGCCGCGGGAAAAAGTCGCCGCTGAGTGAGTCAGGCAGGGTCTTATAGCACTCCAATTCCGGAATGGAAGATGACGGCATACGCGAGTGCATGGAGGCACTCGGTTGCTCGCCAGTCGTATTCGCCTTGAAGTTTGGCGCGACGCCTGAGCTGACCGATCGCTGAATTGTAGAGTAAAAGCTAGGGAGTCGCCGTCGGAGAGATGCTGGAATGACGGGAAAGAAGGTGGTAAACGCCTGAGGATAGACCATTGTGTCATGTAAAGGTGTTCGATCATCCATGACGGCCATTATTGAAGGCCAAATGCCGTCTTTGACCCTGAATAGTACCTGGAGAGGAGGAAGGGCGAAAGGCTAAAGGGTCTGCGTCAGACATACGCAGGCGGGCGGGAAAGCGTTGAGACTCGCTTGTGGTTTTTCTTGGGTCTACTGATATTATCAGGCCACGGTGAATTTGCACGTGGCTGTGTCAGACCGTTAAGTAGCAGCGACTGATGCATGAAGACCATTTCGATTGCGTTGGAGGGGGAAAATCCCCTCGAAAAGCCCCGGCGTCCAGTTCCGAGAGAATCACATGTCAATCACGGATGTCAATAGATAGATAGACTCATCTCGACTCGGTTTCCCTTTCCCTTACCCCCGATAAGCAAGCAATCCCGCGACAATACCGAGCCACCCCCGTCAAGGTGCTCCGTGAGTAACCATGAAAACATTCATAGGTACTGGGTATCAATTCATTTCATTCGTTCACGCGAGCCATCCAGGATGGATACCAGACCCAAGATACCTAGCCAATCAAATGGAAGTGGCACGCCTGTCAGTTCAAGTTACACGCCCTGCGCCCTACGTCTGACATGTGCGAATCAAGGATCGAATCCCTTTATGAACCGATTATATTAAGACTAAACATCGCCCGCTTTAACTTCTGTGTCAATTAAAGAACCTTTTGAACGCTCACAAGACGATGACATGACTAACTAAAAACAGAATCCGAGACTTTTACCACCATAACTTTGTCCGTCTGACAATCTCCTAGGCCAATTACTCCTCCTCTTTCGCCAATCAGGCATTCCTTCCAGGAAAATATAGATCTTGTGCCAGACTGTGGTTCGGATCAAGACCTGCATCGGACATGTACACTTCGTTTTGCTTGGGACTGGGTATAGGAATGGGTGCCGAAGCCATCTTTGACGGAGCCAGTGGCTGTGCCATCGAAACTGCCACCTGTGCCTCATGTTCATGGGAAATAAAATCATTATCACTTCC